GATCGTAACTCGCATTTTGCGAGGTACAGAGACTCAAAAATCGCATTTTCCTCTTTCTTCTACTGCACTTAGATCTAATGGGGAAGGCAACGGCGGAATTGTGGCGGGACCCTTGCAATACAGTTGTTGCGTGACCTTTGTGATAGCAGGGTTTTACTTCCAGACTCACCGAATAACCTCTCCTCTGGAAGTCTTCGATCCCAACCGCCGCACTTCGTTTCTCAGCGATGTTTGGCAAAGAGGGGGCATATATCTTTGTTGGAGGTTTGTCACGAGAGCTCAATGTTGCGTTTAGCCGATTCAATAAGGTTCTGGACTCGCAGATTATAGTTGAAAGAGATACAGGGAGGCTTTATGGATTTGGATTGAGACTTTTGCTGACGGATGTACAATGGAGGATGTTATCAAAGAGATGCACGATAAAGAGTTGAACGGTCGACAAATATCGGTCAACAAGACCACAAGCCAAAGGTGGGTTCGGATGATTCAGGCAGTTATTGTGGCGGTGGTCACTCATCTAGTGGAGTTGGTGGAGGAAAATTATCTTCTTGTTCGACAACTGGCGGAGGCAAAAAGGAGGCTACCAGACAAATCTGATGGTAACAAAGAACGAGAGAGACTTTGGTTGTCTTTATCGATGAGGATCACGAGTTACTAAAGAAGTTTAGAGGAAGCAGAGAGCGGTAGGTAATGTGTCTGAGGATGCATTCACCTTATTGTCATCCAATGGGAACACTGCTAATTATGTTCACTCAGCCAAAGTTACTTGTAATACACATGCTCTTACCTCTATATCTGTCATGAGTTTAACGTAATGGATTTGAGATTCTAATGCATCTCAACATGTGAAGTGCGTACACTTCCGATACTCGCCTAGCAGTTCCAAAGTGCATTCAGACTGCTGATGATACAACACAACCTGTGGTTGGTAAGAGTACAGTGAGGTGTATTAATTTTATGACTTTGTCTAATGTTTTGCATACCCATTTCTTTCAAGTGAACATTTTATTCATTAGCATCGTTATACTTCAATTAAAATGTGTTGTTTCATATGATATTCCAAATGTGATCTTCCAAGAGAAGAGCACTGGCCAGAAACTGGGGCTTAGCATGTGGCATAATGGACTCTGATACTTGGATAAAGTGGGGATGGACTCAGCCTTGGCATCCATTGTTGAGAATGCTTGAGCATGAGGATCTGACAGGAGTGTGGAGGATATTTTGCTACTACATCACAGGCGCATGGGATACTCTTCGTTTATTATACTGAGTCGTTTGTATCCATCCTTGTATTAAAAGACATAAACAAAAACTTGTGTGTAATTCTTGTGTTTGGTAAGCATACCAGGAGCTCTTATGTTAGTTCTGGTAAAATGAGTACTTATGTTTTTGGCTTGGTGAACTCAGATATATAAGAACCTTGCTCTACAACTTCTATGGATGATTACAGATATTTTGTATCCTTCATCGATTGTTTTTTCTCGTGTTACTTGATTATATTTGATGAGAAACAAATGTGATGTGCTTGTCTGCTTTAAAGACTTTTACGAGGGGATTCAAACTCAATATAGTGCAGTAGTGAATGTATTGAGGTCTGATAATGGAACAAAGTATACTAACAAGACGTTTGGGAAATACTTATCAGCCCAAGGGATACAACATCAAACCATATGTTCATACACACCGTCACAAAACAAAGTAGTTAAGAGGAAGAATAGACACCTTGTAGAGGTAGCTCAAAGCATGATGATCATGATGATTCTCCTAAAGCATTTGTGGGGGAAAGCAGTTTTGACAACGGTTCAATTGATTAACATAATGCCACACCCTAGAGAGCGTTGGATTGGAAGTCTTGTTAAATGTTGAAAGAAGATAATAATGAAATCCTCCTATTGAATGTTTTTGGCTGTGTATGTTTTGTGAAGGACATCATGCAATCAGTAGGGAAACTGGATCCTAAAGCTGTGAAGTTTGTTTTCGCGGGTTATTCTGCAATACTAAAAAGGGGTATATTTGTTGGAGTCTGATAAAGAAGAGACTGTTTGTGAGCATATGTATGTCTTTTAGAGATTTTGAATCATATTACACTTTGGAGGTGATCTCGCCCTTTGGTGACTCAGCAGATACTGGAGGAATGAGGCGCGAGGGGAAGAGTAGTGATGGTCAGTGATTGGTGCATGTGGGAACAATGCCTTGTTCCATTTTGTGGGAAGGATTAACTGAGGAAGAGCTGAAAAAGAAGAAAAAATGAGACTGAATGTGGAGGGATTCAAGCTCAAAGAGACCTGAGGTTGTATACAAGGAGGAAAAGGCAAATGTGAGAACAGTGTCCACTCTTTCCATCAAGTTTGGGTACAATGTCTGTCGTGCCACTCGTGTCATCAAGTCTCTTGTCTTGGTCTACCCCATCTCCTGAGACACATACACCTTTCACTTCAAAATCTGATTACTCGGGTGATATAATTCCTCTCATTTCTCCTCCTACTCCCATGGCTTTAAGGAGGACCTCTTGCAGCAAGACGAGTCATTTTCCTGATTGTTATTCTCCTGATTATTTTGGTTTCTCACATAATATTGCTCAGTTTGTCTCATATTCTAACATATCATTTGTACACTGTTGCATCTTTAGACACTGCCTTTGTACCCTAGTGTTGGCAGGTAGTTAAGGAGGATCTAAAGTGGAAGGCTGCTATGTTGGAGAAACTTGGTGCTCTCGATAAAAACAAGACATGGGAGATAGTACCATTATCAGCGGGGAATAGAGCAGTTTGATGCAAATGGATCTTCACAGTAAAATAAAATCCATAAGGGAAAGTGGAGAGTTGCAAGACACGATTGGTGGCGAAAGAATGCAGTCAGACATATGACATTGACTATGACGAGACTTTTGCACCGACAGCGAAGATGAACACAGTGAGGTACTAGTTGTTGTTGCTGTGAATGATGGGTGGAGGTTACACCAATACGATTTGAAGAATGTTTTTCTTCATGTTGAATTAATGTATATGGACATACCACCAGGATTCGATACAGGTCATATAGTGGGCAAGATGTGCAAACTCAGGAAGTCGTTTTATGGCTTAAAGCAATCTCCTCAAGTCTGTTTTGACAAGTTTAGAAAAGTTATGGCGCGCATGAGATATCAGCAGATAAGTGCTGACCATTTGGTGCTCTTTCGTCAAAATGATGATCACATTACTATGCTTGTTGCATATGTTGATGACATGATTATCACAAGTGATGATGAGGTAGAGATTGCTCAACTAAAAGTTAGATTGGGCAAAGATTTTGAAGTGAAGGACCTTTGACAGCTCATCTACTTCCTTAGGATTTAGGTGGCTCGTGGGCCAGAGAGGATGGTCTTATCTCAGAGGAAATTCATATTAGATCTGCAAGCCTGCAGTCTCTCTAATTGATCAGAAGACCAAATTGAGTGCAGAAACAGGAGAGCTAATTGATCGTGAGAGATACTAAAAATTGGTGGGTTGTCTTATCTGAGTCACATGCGCTCTGATATTTCATTAGCAGTGAGCATGGTGAGCCGCTATATGCATGATCCAAAGAAGGGTCATATGGACGCAGTGTATTAGATTCCGAGGTACCTGAAGAGTGCACTAGGGAATAGATTGATCTTTAGGAAGAACGGACACGTAGACATTGACTGGGCGAGTTGTGTAGATGACAGAAGATCCACCTCAGGATACTGCATGTTCATAGGTGGCAACTTGGTCACTTGGAAGAGCAAGAAACAATCTGTAGTAGCAAGGTTAACAACAAAGGCAAAGTACAGGGTCATGGCCTTAAGAGTTGCCAAGATAATGTGGCTGAGAGCCTTATTGGTCGAGCTCAAGGTAGATCAAGAAACTCAAATGAAGTTGTGGTGTGACAAGAAGTCAGCAATTAACATTGCCAACAGTCCGGTTCAACACGATAGAACCAAACATATGGAGATTGTAGATTCTTCATCAATGAAAAGCTGAATAACGGGGTACTTGAGTCAAGTCAGGTAGCCATTGGAGAGCAAGTGGCTGAATGCCTCTCTAAAGAACTTATTTCATTAGATTTGTCTAGATTATATGACAAGATGGGCTTAGTGAATATCTTTTGCTCATCTTGAGGGGGAGTGTTGAGATTTGTATTTTATTTTGAGGGGTTTGATTATAAATAATAAATATAGAAGAAGTCTAGGGGTTCTTTGTACAAGGATTGTGAGGCTCTTTAGAAGCCCAACTCATGAATGAAGGAAATATGCCTCTTACCAAAGTGATCATTCCTTCACAAATAAACTTGCAAGTGAAGAAATTATGTTTACATATGTTTTTAATTTGAGATGACGGAGATAAAAGTAATAGCAGAATTAATATGAAAAAGAATTTTTTTTTTGAAAGTTATTACAAATATTATACAATTTTTTTCTATTTAAAAAGCCGGATGATAGTTTTTGCAGATCTTGATGTAAAATATCTTTGTCATCACAGAAATTTATGAAAAATAACTGAGAAGTTGGGATCAAAAAGAAAAAATTTTCTAAATAAGTTTTTAGGCCTTTCTTAAAGTCGTCGTTAGTCTGGACAGTGAAACTATGAAAAATTAATCCCAGTAGGACCCTTAAGTTGATCTTAAAATTTTTTTTCTTAAGATTTACGTGCATACCACTCAATTCTTATGTATTTACGTATTTAACACCAATACTTCAATTTTTACATTTATCCCACCCATTCATAAAAGCTTGTGTTTCACTTTTTAAAAGTCGAAATGATGATATATTTCAGGTGCTATAAAACTTTTGGGTGGTATAAATGTAAAAAATAATTTTAGTTGTTAGATATATAAATTCATAGGAATTGGGTAGTATGTGTGCTAGTGCCCACCCTTTTTTGTTTCAAATTATCTATATTAGTGCATAGCATGTGACAATCCTTATTCTGAAACAACTATCAGAATAATAAAACCTTATAATTTTCAAAAGCCAAAGCTCTCTTTCAATTGTTCTTTTACAGGTATTCGACCGATTTCGGCACGTTTAGATTCTGCATAGCAGACACGGAGCATGATTGGAGGAGAGGCACTGCGCAATATGAGTTCATAGAACATTGCTTGTCAACTGCAGACCGCCAAAAACAGCCATGGCTGATCTTCGCGGCTCATCGAGTCCTCGGATACTCGTCCGATTTCTGGTACGCAAAGGAAGGCACATTTGCAGAACCAATGGGACGAGAAAGCCTTGAACATCTATGGCAGAAGTATCGAGTCGACATCGCATTCTTCGGCCATGTTCACAATTACGAAAGAACATGCCCAATTTATCAGGTGAGGATCATTCAAATCTTTTCAACCAAATTAAGGCTATGATATCTGTTCGGGGCTTTTACACGCATAGCACACAATTCCAATGTATTTACATATTTTACAACTAAACTTTCATATTTGCACGCATAACACTCAAACCTTTAATTTCACATAAAAAAATAGCACTATTATCACTTTTTAAAAATGAAATGCACTTTTTCACGTATAGCTTTAAAGCACCAAAGTGTTACGTTTGTAAATGTGAAAGTTTAGGTGTGAGATATGTAAATACATAAGAATATTGTGTTAGGTATGTGAATTTTCTTATCCATTATGGGCCATATTAACCCTCTGATCATTTTGATTTGGTCATTTTAGCCTCGGCGTTTATAAAAGTGCAAATTGTTTTTATAAAGGATAAAATAGTCATCATTGGAAACCATATCAACCCTTATTAAAACAGTCTATGACTATATTGATACTTTTATAAATTTCGAGACTTAATGACTCGCTTAAAGTCAGGAGATCATTTTGACATTATTTTTTTTTTTTTGAAAATGCAGAGTCAATGTGTTAATAACGAAAAATCGAATTACATCGGCACAATGAACGGAACAATCCATGTGGTTGTAGGAGGTGGAGGAAGCCATCTCTCAGAATTTAGCAGTGTGGAGACTGCTTGGAGCTTATATAAAGACTATGATTATGGGTTTGTTAAGCTCACTGCTCACAATCATTCCTCTCTTCTATTAGAGTACAAGAAGAGTAGTGATGGAAGGGTATATGATTCCTTCACTATTTCAAGGGATTATAGGGATGTTTTGGCTTGTGTTCATGGTAGTTGCTCACCAACAACATTGGCTTCATAGAAGCAATAAAATAAAATAAATAAATAAATATAAGGTAAATTTGCATATGTAGCATTATCAAAACTTTAACATTACATCAAAATTATCATCAAATTTATCATTTGTAATAGTTATTAATTGATCAATTTATATGTTGAATAGATTCTGATTAGTTTAACATAAACAATCCTTAAATTTATTTTGTATATCTACAAAAAAAAAAAATTTGGGTGTTGAATATATAAATACATAGAAATTGAGTGGTATGTTTGTAAATCTGTCCTTAATTCCGTGCCAGTCCAAAAAAAATTTAGCAATTAAATATTTTATATCCCCTTAATAAGGGAAAGCAATTGCATATGAAAACCCTCATATAACATGAGTATTTTTCTTTTAAAATTGTGTAGATGCATACCAAAAAATTATTATATATTTATATATTTAATATTTAAATTTTAATATTAACTTCGTAGTACATAAAATCTTTAACCCAAAAAAAAAAAAGCCATTAAACAAGTTTTATACAGTGAAATACATATTTTCTTCCATATCATTTGATGCGTAATTATAACATTACAATATTACATCAAAAAATATCCATATTTACATATTAACTATATAAATACATATAAACTGTCGTGTCAATAAATCGCCTATTTTTTAAGACAACTTGACTGCCATACAGCTTCTATTAGTGCCATTCCAACAATTCTCATGCAAAAAGCCTAAGAATGCCTTTTTTACATTAATAAGCTACATCTATCATAAGAAATAGGGATATTTTATCATACTAATGAAATGAGATATTCATTCATATACATGCCACACAGTTATGTATGCATATATTAACACCTAAACTTTCATGTTTATATTTATAAAATCTTAATATCATAAACTTATACATTAAAAAAAATACTTTAATATGACATAAAGCATGAAAATTTTGGTGTTTAGTAAATAAATAAGAATTGTGTTATATATGCATATAAATGCCCATAACAACATTGATTAAAATTACCTAAAAATCCATTAAAAAAACCGTTTTTCTAAAACAAAACTAAAACTGCAACATTTATCCATGCTTTGGTTTCAAAATAATAATAAAAATAATATATAAAAAAAACAGTATCCAGAATTTATGCTTACTAATATTTCGGGCCGCCTAAAATGGAAAAAAAATCAAAGCTACAAAAGTGCTCAAATGGTGGACAAAAGCAAGTATATATTTCCATCTTTATAGCGAAGAAATGTTGATTCTCTGATTAAGATTCATCTCTTAAGCGTGATATAAGTTCATCCTGCAAGAAATATGTACAAACCAACTGTTACCACATTTATCTATAATTAACTTCTTAATTTAACATAATAAAAAAGGAGACAACAGTTTATCTAATACGGAATTCATCATTTAAAGAGTTAATAATACGGCATTCTTCATTCCTACCCAAATGGCAATATATATATACAATTTGAACCCAACATCTCACGTTGGAAAACTACAATCTTAACCATTATGTTACCGATAAGTGTGCATATATATATTTATCATATATATATTTATATTTGTTTGATATTTGTTTGTGTGTGTGTGTGTCGTGAATGAAAAAAGTTATAAGAATAAAATTTTAAATCACAAGAAATTGAAAGGGTTTATCTCAACTTTGTGGGTAAAATTTTTATAGCATACATAATCATAATAAAAATTAACCAAAATTTCAATTGGGATCAATTTTTAATAGTCAGAAAATTGAATTGAAACATTAAAAACTTTTGAAATTAAATTGATCGCATTACAACAGTCAAAGAGATCATATCAGGATTTAATTCCATATTAAATACAGTTACATAGAATTTTATTTTAAATCTAAAGGAGAAAAGCATCAAAATAATCACCTGATTCTTTGCGTGGGGGTTATTTTAGTCCTATAGTCTATAAAAATGTCAATTTAGTCCACAAACTCTTTTAATATGAGAGTGTAAGAACTAATTTGCCATTTTTATGGACTAAGGGACCACAATGACCGTATATGCAGTCTCAAGACTAATTTGACACTTTTCTCAGATCTAGAGAATGTGAGAGCTACCCTTTGTCTCTCTATGATTGCCGGAAAATTTAAGGATAAAATTTTACAATATATAACTACATGGGACTTCTCTTAAATTTAAAAGGATGAGTATCACCCTTAATTCTTCTATAATCCCCCATTAATTAAAATAATAAAAATAAAAAAATAGAGAAATTTACATACGCAGCACACAAGTCTTATGTATCTACATACCACACACCTAAATTTACATATTTACATACACAATACTTTGGTGCTTTAAATCTATGCATGAGAAGGTGTATTTCACTTTTTAATAGTGCAATAGTGCTATTTTTTATGTGATATTAAAGATTTGAGTGTAATGTAAATATGAAAGTTTAGGTGTGAGATATGTAAATAGATAGAAATGTGCTATGCATGCACATGCTCCTCAAAAATAATAATCTTGCCTTCTTTCCTTTAGGTGAGAGTCCTTTATCCTTGAGAAGTGCGCGTAGCCTCTCCACAGTCATTGTATGAAGCATTCTCTCAGAAAACGTAGATCTTGATCCCTCTTACCAAAAAGCAAAATGGATAGAGAAACATTGAAGAAAATATCAGAATATAGTTTAAAATTAAAAAAAAAATTAAAAAAAAAAACAGAATTTTGAGATGTATATGATTAATGTCAAAACATAGCTGATATAACTCAAGCCAATCAGCTCTCGCATTAATCAGTTCTAAATATCCTTTGCAGATATGTTCGTATTGCTAACATTTCTAAAAACTATAGTAATACTATTAAGATTCATTTATGAAATCTGATGATGAGTTCAAGCCAACACTGGCTCCTGCCGGAATGTTAGTGTTCACTGGCATTATTTATAAATAAGAATCTATGGGAGAAAATTGAAAAAAACAAAAATAAAACATCCATTGGTTTTATAACAGAACCTCTCAAAGCAATCAAATTAGGTGGGATTTTTAATATGCGTGTCGAGAGGCCGCTGGTATAATACAAATGTCGTGAGAAGAGTTTGATGTAATTTGCTTCTAAAAAAGACTCAAGATGACATTCTAACGGTCTATGAGCCCAACATAGTTGTCACCTATCTACTGCAAATCAAACAAGAACTTGCCAATTATTTCTATGCTAAAATGACCCATAAAAAATTGTCAATAAGTGGTGAAAGATTTAGCAATTACAAAAATCTTCTCATCTAAAAAGAGGAGCAGGCATGCTTTGAAAAGACGAAGTTTGTTTATGTTGTTTAGTTGTTGAATTCTAATGAAAGAAAACTACAAATTTGTTGAGTGGAGAGCCAAAAATGTTTCCAGCATCAAACCACAAAGGAAAAGGCCCAACCACAAAGAAGAAAAAAAGTTTTGAAAATATTACGGGCCACCAAGAAAGGAGTTGGGGTTAACCAAAGCCTTGAGTAAAGTTATTGCAGAAAGAGGTCGAGGTAAGATTCAAAGAGGCTTTTGATGAAATAAAAAATTCAAAAGATCCTTTAACAATGATCAATGGAAGAGATTGAGAATGACAACAAACATAAGAGGAGCAAAACATCGCCGGCGAGAGAGAAGAATATGAATAGAGCTGCCCTAGGTGTCAAAGGGACTTTTGGGCGAACAAAATACCGACTCCATGTAGTGGTTTTAGAATCAAAGACAGCTCCCAGACCTGGCAACAAAAAGCAAAAAAGCCTTCAATAGTTGAACTAAATAAAACCAATGTACTAGCCACACAGAAGGGATTAACAAAGCTTGTGGAATGATTCACACGTTGGTCTCCACAAATCTTCACCAACATGTGTTAGACATAGCTCCCTGCTTCTTTGCCGCTCAAAAAAAAACACGAGATTGTAGGTGAGTGTAAAACATGACGCATGAAAGTCGTGTGTGAGGGTGTGAGGGCGAACTGCCCATGAGTGCAAGAGAGACGGGCATCTAGGTGGTCCGTTCAACTTGGGATAGCATTAATGTTTCCAAGGTTATTAGGTAACCAACTCTAGTTTTAATATCACTCTCCCAAGAAAATTGGGTATATGTATATGTCAGGGTATTAAAAAGCGCTAGGATAATATGATTTTACGAACTGTTACTATTATTATTTAAAAAAAGGGCAAACTGATAAAATTAAAAGAAATAAAAAAATTAATAAGCGAATTAAGAGAGCCCCAATTAATACTCTAAAATTTCTTCGTACATAATAAAATATGGTTTTTCCACAATATTCATAATTACAGTTTCAGAAAGACTGACCATTCAAACTTTAAAAAATGTAAATGCAGAGACTAATTAGTTACTCATAATTTTAGTCCGTTTTTCCTTTTTTCTTTTCAAGACAGGATGTGAAGCCCATTGGGATTATTCACTTTCTTCCCAATCAATGTGTTGAGGGTTTGAGTATCTAATAAATTTAGTTTCTTGCATAATTATTTTATTGCATTATTTATAGCCTATTTGAAGGTAAATCTATTTATGTTTAAATAAAAATTATTTCAAAAATATCCGATAAAAATTGTTTTGGGATGAACTTTAAAACTACTAGGTTTTTTTTAGGTCAGCGCTGATATAAACTCTTCATAAATAACTACACTTAAAGCAAATCTAATGATTTTCAAGCCCATTATGATACAGATTATATTAGGATATCCTACCAGATCTTTTTTGTTTTATGTTTCTAACAAGCAGCCAACACTAGTAAATTTATCTTGCAACATAAATATAGCTCCTTTAGTACTATGTTCTATCCAAAAACCTCAGAATTTGGGAAGTATGGTCACTACAGCTCCTTTAGCTATTAATTCCCAATACACCATATTTCTATAATGGACGAGCTGCAGTTTTCCCCTCCTTAGTAGCCTAGGATCTAGCCGTAGGACCTTTCTGTCGACTACTCCTAGAAAACTAGTGAAGGAGCCGTCCCCGTTAACAATTCTGAACTTTTCTTCGCTCGACTTGACATTCCATATAGTAGTTTTGACCGCTATTACTTAGCAGGTAAGACTACTCTGAAGGAACTCAAGGAGTATTCGTATAGGACTGTCGCCCTTAGGATTGACTGTACTCGTTGATTTGGCGCCGCCGCGCTCTTCGCCGTCCTATTTAATCAAATTCGAGCCTAGTTTTTGACGTGATTCAGATCGCGACGAGTTTTTGTCCCGATCATCGACGAGATTGTCTAAACGACTCCGGATGACAAAACGGACTGCGCCGACGCGTCCGAAACGTCGATTTTGCCTAAAGGGGACAGTCGTTTCACTGCGACGACACGTCTGGGGGAAAAATATACATTTAAGTGTTAATTATAATAAGAAATCATATTTTATTATTATTATTAGTATTATTATTATTATTATAATTAATACCTTATATTAAAACATAACCTAATTTCATTATCTCCCCCTCCCCTCTGCTGAGTCTCGACCCCGCGGACCTCTGCCCTAGCTTCGGCTCGCTTGGTTCCACATGGCCCGCTCCTTCGTGCCGTTGGAGTCTCGTTCTCGCGACGATCCAACGACCCATCACTTATCGTATCTCATCCTCTGCGAGGATCTCATCGTCTGCTCCTCTCGATCCTTCGATTGGTATGCGATCCCCTAATCATTCCCTCTCATTCTCTCTGGTTTATATGATACTCTGTTTGGTGATTTCCTCGTACGGGTCATTTAATGTTCTTTCCCGAGTTTTCTGGGTGACGTTTCTTTGCTTTCGTTTATATAAAGCATTTCAGTCTTATTCCTCAAGTTTTGTTGCTTGTACCTGTTGCATCAATTACATCTAAGGAACAGCGGATCTCCAAGGTATACAGGTTTGTTTTATGTTTACAGCATATTATTCTTTTATAATCACTTCCCTGCTGTACCTTTTACTTTTCTTTATACCGCATGTTGTACCGTTCTCTCTACTGCTTGTCCTGTACTACATATTCTACTATTATGTTATACACTGTACAACTTCAACATGTTCCCTATAAAATATCTAAAGGACTGCAACCATAGAGCCGCTGGATTTGACATTATAACCTGACACCCTATAAAACTTAAACTCGTCACGACAAGGAGCTTGGAGCTAGCGTTGTGGGCAACACGGTCATCTTCAGCAGCAGAACATGTCTTCCCCAGCTAAACTATTCCTTTCCTAGAAATTAAAACAACAATCCATAGGATTTCGATGTCGTTCGCGTGGAGCGACATAAATCCTCAACTTTTCTTTTATGCATTTGTACAGCTCTACTGTGCAATCTAAGTCCTAACTCGTTTTAGGATTCCGAGGTTGTCGTCCGTCACGTTGTCGTCCGTCGGTTGTCATTTGTTATGACATAAATCCTCCACATCTTCCAGGTTATTTGTGTGATTATTTCATACAAGTGTAAGCCCTAAATAAATAAAATTGACAGGATAAAACACTTGAATAATTTTTCCTCGAAACTGAAGTCAAACCATAGAGTAGACTAGGAAGTCACCGAGGATCTCCTCTGAACCTGTGGCATCCCCTAGTTCCTCTTCCTTTGGATTCTGTAATAAATGTTTTAAATTTGAGTCATTCCACTTTCACACCTCTTTGTCCGATTTCGTTGAAAAGTCTCATCCTTTTGAAGTCCTTGAAGATAATTTTTTCTGATTTTTATCGAAAGTATTCTTAAGTGACTTCGGTCATTGAAAATGTAATTAACTATAAAGGCTTGCCCTTATAGGAAGCTTTTCTGAACTCAGCTTAAAATAAACCCTATTTAATTTTTCATATTAAACAGGGGAATTTGTCGGCAAATAAAACGGTTTCGCAGACCAAACGGACGTCATATATTTCTTAGTCTATTTGATCGAGTCTCATCATCAAGTCTTGTGTTTATCCCTCGGGATAGATACAGGATTTGAGGTTGAGCGCTCTTTCATTTAAATTATGAAAATTATGGAGTCAGTTTGATTTCAATTTTTTCTAAACTTAAATTTATATGTAAATTAAAGCGTCCTTCCGAAGCGGGCGACGGGATTTCGATTCCGGTGACCGACAGTTTTTACGGGCAACTCCCCCAACTTTTTATCTCCGACATGATCGTAAGATGCCATAAAAAAGTTCGGCAAAATATATAATGGGGCAGATGAATGATGATGAGAAGCTTGTTGATTTTCTTAATTGTTGAGACCCTCCAATTTAATGTGGAGTTCATGCTTAAAAAACACAAAAAATCACCAATTTTTCAACTGGGTAGTGAGAACTATGGTCACTATTTTATCATATAAATGAATCCTTCTGCTACTCCAATCATAATCACTTTATGACATCACCGCTACACTCGCTCTCCAATCGCCAAGATTTAGCCATTTGGCACTAGAAATGATCATTTGAATAAGGTGGGCTGGGTCTAATCAATAGGGATACAAGAGCTGGGAAAGACTCAAATATTGGATGAAATTGGGACAGAACAAGCAAAAAAAATAAAGAGGGGGAGAGACTTGTAGAGATAGGAGTTAACTTGAATTTGGTAATATTGATAGTTTGAGGAAGGCAGGTTGGGTCTAAACTCTACAAATCAAAGAGGGGGAAAAGGCTATTGTACTAGATGAATTTGAGAGGGAGAGGGAGAGAGAGGGAGATAATTAAAAACCAAAAACAATTTGAAGAAAGTCAAATGCACCCAAATTACTTCAAAACTATATAAAGCAACAAATTGATAATCAACAATCAATCACACGGAACACCATCTATGATAATATAGATGGATAAAATGCTACAATTTCTGTTAGGCTGATAATTAAACTCCTAGAGTTTTAAGCCGATACTCATTTTTAAATCAACGCTTTCACTCTATAAGTTAAATGCATAAATAAAGTATATTAATGTTCATATTAAATATGTAATTAGTAATATTTCAAGTCCATAAAGACTTACAGAATATGCAAACAAAATAAAAAATTAGAACCCCAAGCTCTATGTTTCACACATAAGGTTACCACCTTGGGCTTGCATTGGATCCATGTGCATCTACAAACACCACAAGAGCCGCTTTAGCATATAACAATTTTTTCCTTTGAAGTTCAAACATGCAAAAACATATTTTCATGGTCCTCTAAAGAATAATTTTGTTTAAATAATAGAAAGAAAAGGCTCAAAAAGTTCATCTCTCTGCTATCACTGCACGTTACTTTTATTCTAACGTTGAATCGGTACCATGATGCTGATGATTCAATGTCTTTTATTTTTCACAATGCTTCTAATCTGAATATTCTTTCCCAAAATTTACTGAAAGTAAGAAATATTACTAGAAACCAAACATGTCAAGTAAAAGGATAAACAAGCATGGCATGGTACAACAATGTTTTGCAAAATTAGAGAAAGGTGGCAGCAGGACTTGAAAATTGTAACCAACGCACAAATTCTTTAATAAAAAGAAAATCAGCTTTTAAAAGAAGATAAAAGATTGCAACATACCCTGCCCGCCATTGCTAGAAGAAGTACCGGTGTTGGCTCTTTTGGTTGAAGGTTTGCCATCCAATGGTCTTGAAGCAGATCTGGAAAGCATAGAAAGGCAGCAAAGTAGAATTTCATTAAAAAAGGAAATTCCACTTTTAATTATTGCCAAACATCGAGAGCGGAAGATGAAGATGATCAATGCAGCTTGAAAGCAATATATCTTAGTGATAAGTAAAGAGATTAAGAAGTACAAATACAATATTCTATCTAAAAATAAGGCGCATTACAGAAAATAACACCATATTACTGTATCAATTCATCGACAGCTCTACTAATATTGTTTTTGAGTCTTGTGCTCAGTTATCTAACAAATCAGTTAAAATGTTTTCCGAACCTCAAGATTTTTCTCAAAGGTTTACAAGTGCCACCAAAAAAATAATGAATTACAGATCTTGCCCTTAAATATAGAGGCGTAAGATTGTTACTAAATATATCACATGATTGCAAAACCTCAGCAAGTGATGTAATTAATAACTCTCAGAAGAATATGTGGTGAACTTCTCATCTGAAACATCAATTACCAAATGGCTTCAGATTTTTTAGCTTGATCCATTGAGATTAGAGTTGACAAAGCTCATGCCATAACAATCATAATGTAAAAATAAAAATAAGCATGTTTTGCCTCAATTTGGGTGTCAATATCACTTATATTGCAAATTATAAGATATTATAAGCCTAAGAATCTCACGCATGCTTTCAAGGCGCCTATCCCGGTAACTAGTCTGATTACTACATATCATGACCATAAAGGTTCTCAAACAAAATAAGCGACCTCCCAATCATACAAAACAAGCACCTCAAGTCCTGTACGTATGTGACGGGTACAGTTATCCCTAGTGATAATCTGAGAGGATCCTGTTAAAAAATTCTCAAATTCAAAGATAAAATATATTTAAGCTTCTCATAGTAAAAAAATTGTAACTAGAGTCAAATGAACACCCTTAAAAAAGCAAGCCCGTCAAAAGTACAAAAGTGTGTGTATAGGCCAAAAGTTCGAGAAATAATTGATCTGTTCAGGCTCATTCATCTGCCCTCCATACTAGTTTGCCAAAAATGTCAAATTCAAATTAGATTACAGCTCATGAAAGAATCAATGTGACACGTGCCCCCTGACCAGTAGATTAGATTGATTGTTGCAGCACCACGATATTGCGGTTATAAACCAAATCTGAAAATTCCCAAATGGCTAAGCCTACGAGTTTTAAGTCATAAAATGCAATTGATAGGGCATAAGAACTTCTATTAGCCAAGGTAGGCTTAAAAGCAGCCCCATTTGGCAAGATTTTCCCCGTTAAGTATGTGAGATCCATTGGGATGATGCAAGTCATTGTTATTAACAATAATACTTTGAATAGGTTAGGTTGATTACCTCAGTTGACTAAGAAAACTAAGGTCCATAATAATTTGAAAAGTAGACTATTGATCGGATATGTCATGATTTTCCCACCATTCAATTGGAGCTAATGGTGTTACATCCATTCCCAAATCCATATTGTTGCTTATGAATCATAGCATCGTAGAACTTATAGACTAACCTTAATCAAAAGTTCTTTTTAATGTTTAAGAAGAAAATTAAACATAATGGCTTATGCCAATGGGAAATTTCAAAATTACTAGCTAAATTGCAAAATCTTTCATTTGTGATTTATCGAAAGACCAATTTAACATTGGAAGATGTGATCGAGACTTACAAGAATATGATTGAAGCAAAAGGAAATTTTCAAGACACATGATTCACGCTGCCATCTATACAACTCCAAACGTTGAAGATATTCTCATCGCATAATTACTTTAAGACGTCTTCCCATTTTACAACTTTGACTAGGACAATCATATGCTTATCTAAACCCTTTTTTTTTATAATTGATCAAAAACATCCAAACTGATTACACCAAAGTACAAGTTTATCCTCAAACATCATTGGCTAGCATATATTATCTTCATATCCACCGAAACTGACAAGCATTGCACATATTTGGATACAATAATCTTAGTCTCTTGTTTTCAAAGTTCATTGTTGGTGACATTCGTTTAGCTTAAATTCAATCTAAGCTGTCAGAACTATGTTATGCTCAAAAAAATACAGACCAAGTTACCTCATTGGAGCATCTGTAGCACGCACATGTGAGCAAAAATAAATAAATAAATTCTACTACTTCACAGATTTATCTGAATCCTAAAATGGCATAGCATAAGAAATTTAATTATGACATTGTTACTATAATATGCTTAAGACATCAGAGCAAACTAACTCTAGTTCATCTTATTAGTAGCGAGAACTATGGAAACAGTAGAATGAAAAAAGCCAAAAACTTTTTGGCAATTAACAAATAAAAATAGAACTTCGAAAAAACCAAAGGCCAGTATAATTTTACCCAGTCTATACCAATCTAATATTGAACATTTAAGAAACAGTTTATAAAAAGAAAGTAGCACAAGTTATGCCCATACTAAATTAGAAATACAAGCTGAATTTTACCACCAAAAGTAGAAACTCAGCACACTAACCAAAATGTACAACATGATATCATTAATGGTGACGTGTTAAGCTCCTTAATCAGCAGTGATACACAAATAACAAAACGCAAGACAGCAGATTCATCAGAGGTCCATTTTTGGGATTATAAATCAGTTACTGCATATCTAAATAATGGCGTGAATTAATCATAAAATTAATACCTTTTGCCTTTAGTGATCTCCACTGAAGCTTTGGCATCCTTGGCATCGGTCCTTAGTTTGTTAATTTGAAGTGATCTAATCAATATGTTTGTGGAATTTGTTTTAATCAGCTGCTCCTCTGCATAAATAAAAGTTATCATGAATTTTAAAATTCCAATAACAAATCAAAAATTCAACAACATTAATCACATCGCAAATATGCATAAATGAAAACATGAAATATCCAATACATATTTTTCGAATAAAATATAAAGATAAAACAAAAATAAGGCATCCATTTGGAAAAGTTAGAATATTCTATTTATCCCAGCATAGCATAATAAAATTCATAAACTCAGATACTAAGGGTGCGTTTGGGGCTGTTGTAACTGTATGAAATCTTAGTACAAAAGTTGTTGTGAAAAATTTGTTGTTTAAAAATTGGTGTTTCAAAATTTGTTGTTCTGTTTGAAAAATTATGTTTTGAAAGTGTTGTTTGTGGATAAATATCTGAAATACTCCTCTATTTATATTATGTAAAATTCTTTATGCACTTGATGTTGTTGGAAAGAGATTTCACTAATTTTTATTTTTTTTATAGCCTTATATAAAATATATATTTCAAATGCAACATGTATGTATGTATATATGTATGTATGTATGTATGTGTGTGCATGTATGTATATATGTATGTATGTATGTATGTGTGTGCATGTATGTGTGTGTATGTGCGTGCGCGCACGTTTATTGGTGCAGCCTCTGGCATAAGTCCCTCGGGTCGGGAGTTCAAATCCCGTGGTGCGGGTTCTTCGAATCAGAAGCAAGCAAACCAGGGTTTTCAACCCTTTAAGGGAATCAATATTTAGTGCCCACTGGTAATATGAAAAAGATACAAAAATGTTGTATGAGATGCCTAAAAGAAAGCCCAACTCATACAATACAAGACACACCAAATCCAGATAAAGCAAAGATACAAACAGGTAAAAAACCAAAAAGCACAAAAGGGCACAAAAGTGCTAGGGACGTCCCACTTTAGTTCTCCTTCCTCTAGTATTTGGAAGTGAGCCGGCTAACAAATTGGTAAGGTGCGTACCATTGCCCGTAGTAAACAAAGTATCAGCCATCAGATTCCTGAGCTCAAGTAGATCTTCATTCTTCTTCTTCCTCTTAGATGTGTAGACTTGTCGACTATGTGTAGACTTGTCATTCCTCATCCGATGATTGACTCATCTAATCAGTAGATTCCAAAGGTGATCGGATAGGTGTAGGTCGTTGCACGTCTTGATCCCCATGAGCCTGAGTAATATTAACATCTTTTTTGGACCTAATGAGGTATATATATATATATATATATATATATATATATATTGATTTATATATACAACAACAATAACAACAAGTCTTTTATCCCACTAAGTGGGGTAGGCTACATGAATCCTTTTTCTCCATTGAGTCTTATTGAGTGTCATATTTTTATTTAATGCTAATAAATTAAGATTATTTTTTTATACAATATGCCCAAGTTCGACCCCACATAGTGGGATTAAGGCTTTGTTGTTGTTGTTGTTGTTGTATGCCCAAGTTTTTCTAGGTCTACCTCTACCTTTCTTAGCATAAGTCAAGACTTTTGATTGTTGTTACTGTGTTTGGTGATTATGGATGGTGAAACCCCCTTGCAGCCCAGACCGCGCCATTTCGCCATTTGCTCACAGGTACTGCTGCTTGACAGCAGAAAGCTGTTATAATACAGTGGAAAACAGCAGATTTCCACTTCCGATTCGCTGTCCCTATGCCATTCACACCATAATTCAACCACCATCATTATTCCTGCTTTCCTTACCCCTCCTACAAACCAACCCCTTTCTTATATTCCCTCACACCATCTAGGAGCCCTAGATCGGTGCCATCGAGGAACTAAGTAAAAGCACAACCCTATTCTAACAAAAAACTAAATGTTCTATGTATACAAAAAATTATAAAAAAAAGATGAAAAAATTACATTCAAATTTAGTTATAACATATGAAGCCAATTTTAGTTTTGCCCCAATGAATTCAGCGTGCTCTCTACATGAACATGGATTCAAATGACAATATTGTTTCTCTTTCAAAAAAGACCACAATTTCCAATAGTAGTTACCCAACAACATTTCTAATCAGGTATAAAAAATAACTTGAATCAGTACTTAATGAAAAATATAAAATCCCAACAGCATTCATTTCTACATAAAGAAAGTATATGCTTAATTTCTCAACCTGAATGAGTGTGCCGCATACTAAATCTAAACAGCATTAGTTTCTACTCACAGATCATATGCTTATATTTCCCATCCTTAGTTGGGTTCATCCATCAAGCAATATCATCTGCATCATTGCTCTATGTTTATCTTAGAAATCTAACAATAGAAATATTCTGAATTGTCACTTGACAAGAAGTTAAACGCAAAGCACAAAATTTAGCAAATTTTGCTCTCAAAAGAGTAAATAAAATATATGAAAAGTCAGATCACTCATAGGGACCCTCATACGAGTTAGTCGCATATTTGGCATGATTCCTAATTGATTTGCATGAAAAGCAAACAATCAATTACTTGAAAAATATAAATACATAAATAAATGAGACAAACAACAATACAAAAAAAAATTCACGTCCATTATTTTTTATTCTAAGTAATTTCTGATCCACCAGAAAGAGGACATTCAGCAAAAATTTTGTAAAACCAAAAATGCTAGGAAATTTTTCTACGAGATAATTATAAAAATTTTCAAGTTCGTTACTTTTTATGACAGAACTTGTGCACTAGATAAAGCTGACTCAGCATAAATAGTGTAAATTTTAGAATGCAAAGAAAAAAAAATTCAAAACAAAAGCAAAAAAATAAGAAGCAATTAACTAACAGAAGGAATAGTCACTCAAGTTGAAGAATAAGGCATTTTCCATTCTTCTTTAGGAAGTGGACAATATGGGAATGGAGTTGGTGAGATTATTTGATTGAACAAGAAGGGGTTTGTAAGATGTTTTAAGAAGTAATTTTAAGATAGATAGTGATTTATAGGATGTTTGAAGAATCAAATCTGAGATTTGGACAGGGATTTCCAGGAGGGAAAATATTAGAGTGGATTGCATGAACATTGGAGAATGATTTGAGAGGGATAGCCTTTGGAAATTCATGATATTATTGCTAGAAAAGAGATGATAAAACATTTGTTAGCATCTTATTGCTGAACTTTGTATCTTTCCCTTGTCGTTTTTGTAGCTTCTCTACTCATGGAGTAGAGAAAAAGGAGCACAAATTAATCAATATTCCCCTTTGCCGTCTTTCAAATCCATGTTATCACTTGTCCCTCTTATTCTATGGCTCTACTCATAAGCAATGTCATAAAATATGATATTTGCCTCTCATTCTTTCTCCATCTTGACCTCTCATCCTTTCTCCATCCAAACCCACTAAACGGAGACCAAAGAAAAACAGTGTAGAATTTAAGCTTCATGTTGGATCTTTTCACAATTATCAAATTTGGGTGAAAACCTATACCCAACCGATTATACCCAGTATCCCACGCATCAGCAAAACACCTTATCTCCTATATCTAAATCACCAATCAAATCTCATCTCATCCTCTTATGTTTTCAACAAGACAAATGAGACGAGTATATTCCATTCGACCCTTGGCGCTCTTTATCTCTTGCTTCTTTCCATTTTCTTTATATTTCACATTCAGTGGCTTAATGATTTAGTCAAATTAAACATCGAACATTATATGATCCGGTTAGGAGAGTAGATGTTTTAGACTTGACTTATGTTAAGAAAGGTAGAGGTAGATCTAGAAAGATTTGGTCATATTGTATAAAAAATTATCTTAATTTACTAGAATTAAATAAAAACATGACACTCAATAGGAAGCAATGGAAAAAAATTATTCATGTAGCCGACCCCACTTAGTGGGATAAAGGCTTCTTGTTGTTGTTGTTGCTTGATGGTAACAACTGCATGCTAAAATTTCTAGTTGCAAAAAAAAAATGTCTTAAATGAACAAAAAATCCCAATACGAATCAATAAAAGTGATAAGAGACAATAAAAATTTTATGTGAAAAACCAAAAGAGACAAATCATATGGTGTAACCTAGTTATAATATTCCAATATATATTAAAGTCATAGAGTTCCATTCTTACTCCTCAATTGGGAAAGATGATAACGCAAAGCTAGAAAAAATTGTTTGTCCCTTTGTTGTTATAATACAAGTTTATTGACAACAAAGTTAACTAAATGAAGATAATTTGGCAACAACAATTTGAAGAAAATAATCTGGCAATGACAACCACACGACAGTAGTTGGGTTATAGCTATCACTAGTGATAGTCGACAATTATTGTTGGTCATTAGCTTCTTGTTCTCTTTATGAATTCAAATTTACCTTTCAACAATATATTTCCCCTTCATATGGAGAATGTGTGCCTATTTATAATTTATGTTGTGGCATCTGCATGCCAATTTTGTAGAACATTCAGTATTTCAATTAATTCTTCAAAGCTTCCAATTATATTTCAAGCATTTCATTTGGGCTCATTTGAACTCAAATCAAATCACTTTTGGTGTCATTCAATTTGTATTGTCAAGACATTTAGTTTAACTATAAATTTTGTTGAAACTGGAGCTAGAATTATCATGAATTTGACACTAAAAGTTGTCTTCTCTAAAATGCAAGATTAATGCCTTATCATGCAAGTTTTTTAGTGGCATATCAATAACAAAAGCCAAAAACTAGCTATACAGCATATTGAGGAAAGAGCTTTCATTCAAAGAATGCACACGTGTATATCTTAAAGTGGCTATATGTTAAGATTTAGAGAAAGAGTGAGCCAAACATTCAATGATCCATTTTATTTGATGCATGACTAAACTATTATCAAGAAATCTACATCACCTTCTTCGTTCTACAAAATATTATTCCACTTCCAGCAACATTGTCCATTGTTATTCATAAATTTGATCCTTTTTTTTTAAGGATGATGTATTGACAGCTTTATATACTCATGCAATTTTCCAACCATCTCTAGCAAACGGTATACCATTATTTGCCATAGATATGGAAAACCGACTTTAGTACTAGTTCAATTTCACAAACCAATGCCTCAGATTAATCCAAACAACAGGGTTTCAATTATCTCCACGGAACTGACGCTTCAGAAGTGCGTGAAGTAAAACCATCGTGATAATTATGATCGGTGAGGCAATCTATGCAGACGGAAAATGCTATTTAGTATCCATCAAATTAGGGCAGAGAAAGCACGTACAATGTAACCTTGCTAAGGAACTTTACTGATACAGGTCGCCCCATCCAATGAATATGAATAAAAAACAAATATAAAATAAAATGAGAGATTGTTTCGGTATAAAGAAGGTTGATCGGGCAAGCGGAGCTTTCTAACCTGGGGGAGAAGTTTCGTGATCACAAACGTACACTCGCAAGCTTCCCTGCAAACGAGTCTAAAAACGTTAGCAGAAAGAAAGAAAGGAAAAACGAAGAGTCTGACTTGGGGTTTTGTCGGAAGATTAGTACCAGATTGGATGATAGGGTGGTAGAGGAGAAGAAGCCACGGGAGGGGAGATCGGTGAGGAACTCGGAAGCACCTCCGGCTGCGTTTTCATGCTTACCTAATGATGCCTGCTCGGGCTCCATCGCTTCGAAGTTCTCTGCTACCATTCTCGCGCGGTGGAGCTATGGCATCATTTCATACCATGAAGAAAAGCATCTTGTGTGGGGATGGTGTGCCTAAAGTAATTTGATAGCGGTGGATAGTTTTTTCGGAATATATTAAAAAGAATGATCTGAGATAAAACCTCCAATCATCCCTAATATGTTTAACAATTCGAGTAAAGCCAATTGTGTCAGAGAGGATTTGAATCTCATCCTGAGATGCCTTATACCATAGATGTCAACCAACAGACCGAGATACATGTGATTATAAAATTTTGATGAGAAAATAATTTTTTACAGATCTATTGCGTGTAATATAAATAAATTTTTGCATGCAAAGATTAGATAATTTTTTATAGTTATAGCACTTTAACATACCTGATTATAAAAATAGTTTTTTATCACAAAAAAATTTAAAGGACAGCAACAAAATAATAATCAAATATAATTTTATTGGTGATATAAAAACAATGCAGTTAGAAAACTGCCCCAAATAGGTATCCTCATTAAATTAAGAAGCTTATTTACAAATTTAAATAAATAAATTATATAAAGTCCAATTTTGCTTGATTATCATTATCAATTTTTTTAAAAATTCTAATTAAGTTGTCCCAAACAAAAAGTCCTCAATTTGATAACTTTAATTATCATGATAGATGAAGAAAATCTATTTATAAATCTGCCTATCTAGAAAATCCAACTACTAAAAAATAGATGTAATTTGTATCAAATATTTAATAAATCAATAAAATATAGGAAAATTTATATGACCACTTAAATTATATATCTGCTGCATAAACTTTAATTTTTATATACAAGCCACATTAGTTATTGATACGCTACCAATAAATTTTTAATCATCTAGAACGAATCTCGAGGCATGACACGGATCTCGAGACAGTTTTTTCAACAAAAATGTTCAAATCATGATAAAAAATCATCTAGTGCTCTGATTTCAACAAACTTATAGTCAAATTAACCGGCTCGATGAGACGGACTTAATAATACAAAAACTAGTCTAATTCGAGTCAAATCAAGCTTAGATCATATCATTAAACAACTCTTGGAAGATTTTCGGACGCATTTGGATGGTCAAACGGATGCCGACTGCTTACACTAGTAAGTTCATAGTTGAATCGAACGTCTGGGCAAGACAAATCCAACGAGCTCAATATCACTCAATTCCGACATCATTAAGGCATCCAAATGTCCATTAAACGCAATCTAATTGAGGGAAACTCTCTAGACCGTTCGATCAAAATGATTCATATTCCTGCATTAATTGCATCTAAAACACTATAAATAGACCCCCTAGCCCTTACATGAGAGAAAGTGAAAGCCTAGAGAGAGAGCCGGAGACCTTTAGAAGGAGCTGCAGCTTAGCATCACCCTCGACCGTCGTCGATCATTGCTGACCATCACCGACCTCCGTCGATCACTGCCTACCGTCGTCAACTACCGCTAACCACCATCGATCACCATCAATCATCGTCAATCACTATCTACCAGACGCTGTCAGTCGACATTGTAATCTGAAAAATATAGTTATATTTTCCTGTCTGTGGGATAAAAGATTTATGTAATCATCAATTAATAGTGAATTTTCGCAACTTGGCCAGACCCCATGGTTTTTCCCTTCACGGGTTTTCCACGTAAAACATCTGGTGTCACTATTACTTATTTCTCTTTCATCTGTGTGTGTTGAATGCTCGTACAATGCTAAGACAATAATCTGTCACTCTACTGTCACGAATTTTCTAGCACGCATCAGTTATGTTTATAAAAAGGCCAGATTCACTTTCTAAAAGTTAAAAGCGTGTGTGTGAGAGAGAGAGAGAGGGAGGACAATTAAGTAGTGATAAATCACAATAAAAAACAAATCAATACGTTTAAAATTTTAGAAATGATATGAGATAAGTAAATTTAAGAAATAATAACAAAAAATAATTAATTAAGAAAAGGAAGATTTACATAAACACTCTCTTGAATTTTGATTTGTTCGTAAATCACACCCCAATAAATATTGCGTAAAAAATAAGAGAGAGAAGTAAGCAGAAATATGTCTTGTTTTATTCATAAAATTGTTAGATATGACTCATATACCATAAAAGGACATATGCTAGAGCGGAGCATAGCAGAGCAGAAGATTCTGTCTGAATCAGGGGAGTTTCCTTATATGGGTTGGGGGTGCGGTAAAGGGGGAATTTGATAATTACATGTTGTACACAAGGTTTCTTTTACTGTTTTGTGTAGGATTATAAATAGGTTTGTATGTAACACTAGGTGTTATGCTAATTTTGTATTATGTACTCTTTTTCTGGATCGTTGAGAAAAGCCGTCGCTCTGCTCCCGAGGACATAGACATCTTTGTCCAACCTCGTTAAATCTTGTGTTTTCTTTCTGGATTTGTGTCAATTCCTATTTTTCTTCGCCCTAATTTCTCAACAAGTGGTATCATAGTAAGGTTCTAGGGCAAAAGAGATCGGCGCCGGAAGAAGATTCGGCGGTGGAGGAAGTGCGGGGTGCGGGATTCGCGAATCTCAGCAACTTGCGGCACTATTCGTGGCAACGTGAGGAGTATTTTTAGCGACAGGCTCCGGATCGGGGGCTTCGGATTCGGCGCAGTGCTTCTTCCAGTAAGGTGCGATTTTCGGAACTTCTACCGCGATTGGTTCCACACGTAGTTTCGAATGGTTGGTGTTCGAAGGCGGAGGCACTGAGCGGAAGAGGCTCGGTTTGCAGGAGAAGCTGACGTAATCGGAAGGCTCAGTTCGTGCTTCAGAGGCTACTGGGCGGACAAACCAGGAAATATTGGAAGAATATTCCTTCGGGATATCTCTTGGAGAAGCATTTTTTTTTTCCTTTGCTGAATTTATTTCCTTTGGTGGAGGCTGAGAAGAAATAGAAGGAATCGTATTTCTTTTGCTTAAGGCGGAGAGGAAATAGAAGAAATATTTCAGGCGGAGAAGAGATTATTTGCTTTGCTGGAAGAATTGGAAGGAAGGAATCTAAGAAATATTTCAGGCGGAGGAATATTCTCGCGGAGAAGGAAAATTTCAAATATTCCGATGATAAATTTCAGGATATTTTGGAAATATTCTGAGCAAAGAATTTTTTTAAAATTTAGCAGGGAATTCGAGGTGGTGAAGTTTGATGGAACTGGTAACTTTGAATTGTGGCAAACAAGAGTAAAAGATCCGTTGGCTCAACAGGGAATCTTAAAAGCTCTGCGGGCAACAAAACCAAAGGCCATGGAGGATGAAGATTGGGAAGAATTGCAACAACGAGTAACAACAACTATACTCCTATGTCTGACAGATGAGGTTATGTCTCACTTGATGAATCTGAAATCTCCAGGGGAGGTATGGAAGAAATTGGAAACTAAGTTTATGACTAAATCTCTGATGAATAAATTGTATCTGAAGCAAAAGCTGTATGGGCTGAAGAAGCAAGAAGGTTCTGATCTAGCGCAACATGTTAATGGTTTCAATCAAATAATCACAGATTTATCACGGCTTGATGTGACTCTTGAGGATGAAGGTCGAACAATGATTTTGTTGTGTTCACTGTCTTCTTCCTATGAACATCTGATGACTACTCTTACATATGGAAAATAAACTATCAAAATTGATGAGATTACTGCAGCATTGTTGGCTCATAACCAGCAGAAGCAGAATGCGGAGGAAAGCTCTCATGGCAAAAGTTTATATGTTAAGGGTAAACAGGATCGTGGAAGAAATAAAGAGGAGGGTTATAGAAGACGAAATTTCAGATCCAAGTTCAAATGCAAAAAGACAATTCATTGTTGCAATTGCAAGGAGCCAGGTCATATGAAGAGAGATTATTCAAAACTGAAGAAGTAGACTGGGGAGAAAGGTGATGCATCATCAAAGTCTGTAAATGTGGTGCAAAGTGACAATTCAGATTGCAGTGATGGCGATATGCTTTCAGTTTCATCAACTCAGTTCATAGATGCATAGATTCTTGATTCAGGATGCTCTTATCACATAACACCTAATAGTGAGTGGTTTATTTCATACATGTCAACTAATTCTAGCTCAGTTTATCTAAGTGATAATAGATGTTGCAATATTATTGGTATTGAAGAAGTTAGAATTAAGATGTATGATGATACAATAGAACATTATATGCTCAGACATATTCCAGATATGAAGAATAATTTGAATTCCACAGGCACTTTACATAAAAATGGTTTTATTCCTAAGACAGATGATGATACAAAAACCATCAGAATTGTTAAGGGTGCACTGACTGTGATGAAAGGAAAGTTAAAGAAAGTTAAATGCAGGTAATATCTACAAATTGTTGGGGAGTACAGTTGTAGGTGGAGTTCATTCTATGAAGTCAGATAATTATAGTACAAAGCTATGACATATGCGTCTAGGTCTTCTCAGTGAACATGGGATGACGAAATTGCATAGAAGAAATTTATTGTATGGTGTTAAAAGCTGCAAGCTTGCTGCAAGCTTGCTGCAAGCTTGATCTTTGTAAGTTCTGTGTTCTTGGAAAATAGACTAGAGGCAGTTTTATGACTGAAAAACTCAAAATTGAAGGGATTCTTGATTATGTGCATTCTGATGTATGGGGCCCTACTAGATCATCATAACTGGGAGGATCTCAGTATTTTGTTACCTTTATTGATTATTTCTCCAGGAAAGCTTGAGTATATTTCTTGAAGCAGAAATCTGAAGTGTTCTCTAAATTCAAGCTGTGGAAAGCTGAGGTAGAGAAACAAACTGTCAGAAATATCAAGTATTTGAGGTCCGATAATGACACAAAGTATACATATTCGCAGTTTCAGAAGTTTTGTGAGGAGCATGTGATTCAGAGACATTTTTCAGTACGCAAGACACCATAGAAGAATTGTGTGGCTAAAAGGATGAACGGTCCTTAACTAAAAGGGCAAGATGCTTAAGACTGAATGTAGAGCTTCCTAAGAGTTTCTGGGCAGAGGCTGTGAATATGACATGTTATCTCATCAATAGATCACCTCGGGCATCGTTGGGTGGCAAGGTCGCAGAAGAGGTATGAACAGGTAATCCAGTTAATTTCGATCATTTACGGATTTTTGGTTGTCCTGGTTAGTGCATGTACTTGGAAATGAAAGATCAAAACTTGATCTAAAATCCAAGAAGTACAGCTTTCTGGGCTACAAGAAAGGTGTGAAAGGATACAAGTTTTGGGATCCAATTGCAAAGAAGATGGTGATCAGCAGAGATGTAGTTTTTGATGAACAATCCATGTTACAACAGAATCAAGACAAGATGCAAGGGAGCAGTTCCAGTCAGATGTAGTGCAGATGGATTTAGAACAACATTCAATGACAACTGAGAGGGTTGAAAGTTCAAATCCAACACCTGGTGATTTTACTCAAGATGATCTGCAAAATTATAATCTAGCAAAGACAGACAGAGACACACTTAGAGATGCACCAATATAAGGCCTCCTAGCAGATTGGGTTATGAAGACTTGGTCTCTTGTGCACTTCTCATTAGCAACGATGATCCAGCTACTTTTCAAGGAGCTATCAATAGTCAAAATAAAGAGAAATGAATGGGTGCAATGGTTGAGGAGATGGAGTCTTTGCGAAAAAATCGCACTTGGGAGCTAGTTCAGGTTCCTGAGGGAAAGAAGACTATTGGGTGCAAATGAGTGTACAAAAGGAAACCAACAATATCAAAAAAAAGAAGGGGAAAAGTTCAAGGTTGACTGGTAGCAAATGAATTTTCACAACATAAGGGGATAGATTATGATGAAATATTTTCTTTTATGGTCATACATACTTCAATCAAGACAGTGCTTGCATTGGTAGCCATTTGGGATTTGCATTTGGAGCAGATGGATGTTAAAACTGCTTTCTTGCATGGTGTTTTGGAGGAGCAGATTCACATGGAGCAGCTAGAAAGGTTCACTCAACCTGGATAGGAGCATCTGGTTTGCAGGTAAAAGAAATCATTGTATGGGTTGAAACAGTCTCCAAGACAATGGTACAATCGGTTTGACTCCTACATGATTCAGATTGGCTACAAGGGATGTGAGTATGATTGTTTTGTTTATGTGAAGAGCCTTGATAACCGTTCTATTATTTTTCTGTTATTATATGTTGATGATATACTGATTGCTGCAAAGAATATGAATGATGAAGAATATGAATGATGTTTGTGGTTTGAAAGCTTTATTGAGTCAGGAATTTGACATGAAAGACTTGGGTCCTACGAAGAAGATTCTTGGAATGGAGATTCATCAATACAAAGGCTTAAGATGATTATTTTTATCTCAACGAGGATATGTTGAGAAAGTACCAGATAGGTTTGAGATGAGCAAAGCAAAGCCTGTAAACACTCATTTGGCAAATCATTTTAAGCTTTCTTCAGAATAGTGTCCTAAGACATATACAGAAATTGAAGATATAACAAATGTTCCATATGTCAATGCAGTTGGCTGCTTGATGTATGCAATGGTATGTACTCGTCCTGATTTGGCTCATGATGTTAGTCAAGTCTGCAAATACATGGCTAAACCTGGAAGGCGACATTGGGAAGCAATCAAGTGGATTTTCAGATATCTGAAGAGTACTGTAGGAAATGAAATTATTTTTGACAGTTAGCAGAATGATCATTCATTTATGGGGCACGTTGATTCAGACTATGCAGGTGATTTGGATGATATAAGGTCTACAACTGAGTATGTGTTTACTCTTGGTGGAGGGCCTATATGTTGAAAATCAACAATTCAGTATATTGTGACATTATCTATAATTGAAGCTGAGTACATGACAGTAGCTGAAGCTGCTAAAGAAATCTTATGGCTTACTGGGCTAGTAAAGGAACTGAGCGTTGAGCAAGGTAGATTTCAGTTGCATTGTGACAGTCAGAGTGCTATTTATCTGGCTAAAAACCAGGTGTACCATGTGAGAACCAAGCACATTGATGTCGGGTATCACAAAATTAGAGAATTGATTGCTTCTGGCGAGATACTGTTGCAGAAGATTCATACTGATGAAAATGCAGCTCATATGTTGACTAAGCCAATTACTATCAACAAGTTCTTGTATTGCTTGGACTTGTTGAATGTTTGCAGTTGCTAGAGAAGCATTGTGGCCCAACCCACTTCTGGTATGTAAGAAACTCCATGACGTATTTCTCCTAAGGGGCTGAATATTCACTAAGGTGGAGATTTGTTAGATATGACTCATATACCATAAAGAGACAGATGTTGGAGCGGAGCTGAGCAGAGCTGAAGATTCTGTCCAAATCATGAGAGTTTTTTTATGTGGGTTGGGGGCGCGGTACAAGAGTAATTTGATAATCACATATTGTACTCAATGTTTTTTTTACTGTCCTGTCTAGGGTTATAAATAGTCATGTATGTAACTCTAGGTGTGATGCTAATTCTATATTTTGTACTCTTTTTTTGGATCGTTGAGAAAAGCCGCAGTTCTGCTCCCGATGACGTAAGCATCTTTGTCGAACAACGTTAAATCTTTGTATTCTTCTGGATTTGCGTCGATTCCTGTTTTCTTCGCCATAATTTCTCAATAAAAATGATCTTTATATTTATATGAGAAAAAATACAATATGATGATGTTATATTTTTACTCTTACTTTAACGAGGGTTATATATGATATTCTGTATATTTTATATAAATGATTCCATCGCTCGATTGCTCTCTTGCTTGATTGGCTGGGCTAGTATTGCTTCTACCAGATAAGTCCAATCTGATCGGCTAGACTGAGTTGGCATTGCTCGTCGGCTAAGCTGGATTGGCTCCAGGACTAATTTGGTTGGATAACTTTGCAAACTAAACATTCGCCCGAAGCCGGTCCACGTATACCGCAAAACCCGGAAAAAAGCTCGGGTTCTGCTCCACTTGTCTTCTTCCTCTTCGATCCATCTTCCTTTCGTACAAATCGCGAGCCTTCTTCTTCGGCCATGATAAGAACCAGAATAACTGCAACATTCCTCTCTGATCCATTTATCCAGAGAGCTTCGAAGGCGACAGAACTCTATCTACACGCCGTGTAAGAAGAAGAAGAAATGGAGAGCCCGCCGGGGAGCGCTAGGTCGAGTCCGGAGGCGGAGGTGGGAATGCGAGTGGAGGATCTGTGGGAGATACAGGAGCCGCAACTCAGCCCCTCTGAGAAGCTTAATTCTTGCTTTGAGAGTATTTTTGTGAGCTCTTTCCCACAAGCCCCGTCCTCTCAAGGTAACCTAGGCGAATCGCGATCTCAATTAAGCTTCTGTGTTCTTGAAATCTCTGTTATTCTAGTCCGGAGATCGTTTATCTTTCTTCTTCTTCTTTTTGATCTTCGTATGAAGGAGATGAGTTACAGTCATGAACTTGTGGAGGTTTTTTGATTTGCTGAATATAAATGAAACATTGATGGGCTTTTACATACCAATCATCCAAAACTTTATAAATAATGTTGTGACGTCCAAAAATCACCCAAAATTTTAAGTTAAAAATTTAAGTTTGGATTTAAAATTTTGAATAATTGAGATATGAAACCCCCAACATTATTCTGAATTTGAGAAAGCATGAACTATCAAATGAAGAATTTGCAAAACTGTTTTTCATATGAGTGTTGGGGCATATAGATACATGGCCACTTAATTCCTATGTATTTAAATATCTAACAGCTAAACAATGCTTTTTACATTTATATTATCTAAATCTTTCATATCACATAAAAAATAACACTATTTTAAATTCTAAAAGGCGAAATACATGTTTTCATGCATAGATAAAGTAAAAATTGAAGTTTAGGTGTTAGATATATATATATATATATATATATATATATGTATATGTATTATATATATATATATATATATATAAAGGAATTGTGTGGTATGTATGTAAATCTTTCATGAGTTTTTTATATCAAAACATAACTCAAACCCTTATCGCATCTTTGTAAGTTCATGTTTGGGATAGCTTTTTGATTGTTTTGCTTTTTAAACCGTCATCACAATTTTGTAGGAATTGCTTTCTAAAAGTTTTTATGATGAAAAGCTATTTTTTCCAACTAGATTTACAAAGCGCGTTGACAATAAAAAAGTTGTTATTTGACTCTTTGGAAAAAAATTAAATATTTATAATTCATATCTTACTTTCTAAGAAATTATTTTCCTCCCTTCAATTTTAAAATCACTTTTAAAAAAAAATTACAATTGTCCCAAACGGGCCCAAAATTTTGATTCCATCGTTTTCTTTATGCCCTCTCAATTGATTTTGCTGAAATCTCATTTCCTGAATTGTTGTGTCATATGTCTAAAAAACAGGAACTAGATGAGAAGATAGATAACAACATACAAGTTTAAGGGAAGCATTCGACGATAAGAACATCTATCATATTTCTTTCAGGATATCACAGTTTCAAAAGTGCAAACCATTCATTAACGACATGCTTCTTCTGTATGAGAGTTCTATTGAGTATACCATGGAAGAAAAATAATGTTCTTATGAAGCTATACGATTATCCGTAGAAATGAGGATAAAGTAAATTCTTTTCCTTCAAGAAAACAAACAATACAATTGAGATACATAAAGGATAATCTAACTTACAATAAAATATTATATCAAGACTCCGCACGTAACAATGAAATCACGTCATGTGGCGGTGGCAGGATAAAAAATAAAATGTCTGGTAATACATGGAAATATTCATCTCGTGTTCATCAAGTGTTATTGTGCGTTATTAAGTTGTTATTGTGTGTTATTCAACTGTTATTGATGTGTTATTGTGTTATTATAACACTAAGAATATTTCCAGAACACAATAACATCTGAATAACATATAATAACACATGAATAACACGGGGGGAATATTCTCCTGTGTTACCGGACAGATTTTTTTTTCCATACCTCCACGTGGAGTGATTTCATTGGACTCCGCATGAAACTCTACGTATGGAGTCCTGATGCAATAATTTTTCCTAACTTATAACATTTATTTTTCGAGAGATGCGTGATCTCTCTCAAATCTTACAATTTAAGAGCTAGGAATATTCTCCCAAACCCTAACCCTAAGATACAAAGACAACAATCTCATGCCTAAATAATAATTAATAATTAATAATTAATAATTAATAATTAATAATTTAGGTAGGAATATTCTCCTGAGAAAAAAATTTTATCACGCCAAAAACATAACCACTTAGCTTGTTTTTCTTGGATCTCCATCTCTGTAAGGTGCTTGAGTGTTGCCCCCGATCATGACCCGTTATTCTTATCCTGTGGACCCTCCCTCTAAACTTTCACTGTTTGAGTTTTTGGTATCATCATTGTTGCAGTCGTTTAACACGACACTCCATCTGTGCTGCTCCTATTAACCTGTTCCACTGTGTTTCCATAGTTTCTCCCAAGTCTCACGATCTCAGCGGATGAAGTGTTGTACGCATGTCGAATTTTAATCCCTTCGTGAAATTTTCCTCCAATATTGTTTCAGAAATCCCCCTCAGCCATCTCGACGGTGGCTTTAATTTCTTCCTATACTTCATAACAATATCTTCCTGAGTTAATACAAAGAATTGCTCGTATAGGTCTCCTTCCCGAATGACTCGAAATCGTTCCAACAAGCAATCATTGAACTCCTCCCACGAGCAGATTGGGTATCTAGTCTCCCTCCACTGAAACTATGCTAGAGTTAGGGGTGTCAATTCAGTTAGGTTGGTTTGGATAGGGTACGACTCGAAAATGACTCTAACCCTACTCAAATAATATTAGGGTCAACTCGAACCCGATTTTTTCGAGTCGTGTTGGCGTGTCGAGTCAATTTTTGAAATCTAGGAATGTCAATTTGGGTTGGTGGGTCGAGGTCGGGTTCGACCCAATAATGACATGACCTGAATCAGGTAAATTCGAACTCGATCGAATAATAAATGAATCGAATTCTCAGACCCAAAACCGACTAAAAAAATATTTGGATCAACCCAAACCCGAGTTTCTGGAGTCAAGTTCGAGTTATGTCGGGCTTTCCCCTTCAAACATAACCTTACCGATATGAGTTTCTCCTCCCCATTTAGCTCATCCATCGCAAAATTTTGATTCACCCAGTACACCCACCATATGTGTCTTCTCCTTCGAAAATCGACATTTTCAACTTCCTAACCATAGCATCTCCACTCACCCCCCCCCCCCCCCCCCCCGTGTTTCTTCCTATGTTATGTGTCGAGGGTAAAACTCCATCATTCAATCATAGCCATACCACATCCCCGCTTCTCCAATTTCTGCTTCTTGCTCCTCCATACCCTTTGTATAGCTCTTTCATGTTTTGGCTCAACCGTCTCTATCGGAAATCTCTAATTCACCCCTATAAAAGCCCTGGAAGGGGGTTCATAATGGTGGATACTTTTTTCATCGTGTTCCTCTCGTTCAGTCTCTTTTCCTTTTGATTTGGTCGTGGATTCTTTTGTCGACCCTTGGTTAGGGTTTGTCAATTGACCTCTTGGTGGAGTATTGAATTACGTCTCAATAAGCTTCCTTGTCATCTCCTCTAAGTTCTCAAATCGATTGTCAATGGAGGAAAACACTTACTCTATCCTGGATTTGATTTGGCTCCCACGTTCCTCCAATTTCTTCTCCAAATCATTTATTTTATTGCTCGCCATTACTCCTTATAAAATTTTGAAACTTCTTTAGGCTGTGATCCCATCATTGGCTTCACTAGTAGCCCGGATCACTGTTGTAATGCGAGGTCTTCAGCTGCAATCCCGTCAGATTGCTCGAATATACTAGCTACTTTGGAGGAGATTGTAAGAGATTCTAGTTAGCTAAAGTGGCACCTGTATGTCACCATCTCTTTGGTCTCTCATCAAGTACCCACGACTCTGTCGTTGTTGTCCCAGCTAGGTCGTCGGATCACGACTATATTGCACGGGTATTGTATATTGTGATCCTGTCGGTCTTCTTAGCTAGCTTTATCTTGACTATATTGTCCCGACGCATTCCTATAGTCGCTTCCCTGTTAGTGATGTGATCCCGCCGTCGCTTCCTTGGTAGCCTGATCGCGACTATATTGAAACTTCTGCAGGATCTGATCAATATGTAAGTACGCCATGATCATTTTTCCTCCTGAAAGAGCCACCATCTTCTTCTGGGAGCTGATAGCCTTCTTTTCTTCCCATATTCTTAGATTGATGCTTTGATACGACTTTTATATGATTTTACATACATTTTCACGCAGAAATTAGGGCAAAACAATTTATTTTTGTCAATAACACAAACAATACAATTGAAATACATAAAAGATAAGGACCTATAATTTGAGAGGTAGACTATCTCTCCCAAATCCTACAATTTAAGCGGTAGAAAAACTCTCCCAAACCCTAATCCTAAGACTCAATGACAACAACCTCATGCATAACCCTAACCCTAAACTATTAAGTTTTATTTATACCAAACAATAATCAATATTAAAACACAAAAATTGCCCTTAGGATGACACCCGGGTAGCTGAAGCCTTTGTTGATGTCCATATATTCTACTTAGATATGGCTTAGAATTTTTACCTTACAAAGTTTCTTTCTTTTTCCATTTCAGCAATAAATTTATGCTTTCATGTTCCTATTTGAATTAATTGAAAATGCTAATATTCTTTACCTTGCGAGACTCGGATCCAGTCATCGAGATATCTTCGGATTCCAGCTTGGCTGAAGCCGTTGAAATTCTATCTAACAACAGAATTGTGAGTGCTCCTGTGAGAAATTTAAAAGCTCCTGCGAACGCAACTTGGATTGATAGATACATCGGAATCGTCGAATTTGCGGGGATTACTGTCTGGCTTCTGCATCAGGTTGGCCAGCTCAATTGCATGGTTGTAATTTATATCAATCTTATACCTTGAAAAAGATGCACTTTTCTGCTTTAAACCAGTTTAGAACATACACCTAATTCTTATGTATTTACATAAGCAACACTTAAATTTCATTTTTTTACATTTATAACATCCAAATCTTTCATATCACATAAAAAAATATAGACATTTTCATGAATAGGCAAGGCGGCTTATATGTAAAAATTGAATGCTGTGCGTGAAAACTTCCTAGAACTTTTTTCTTCTTCAAAAAAACTTCCTAGAATTTTTTTCTTCTTCAAAAACAAACAAATCTTAGATGTTCATGTTGTTTTTTCACTGGTAATGTAAAAAAAAATGAAGTCTGCAACAAAATATTTTCTTTTGATGCGATATCATACAACAATTGTAACTGGTCTATTTTGCAATGTACAAATGAAATAAAAATATTTTTATGCTGGAGCACAATAAATGTGAAATGTAATATATACCTTCTGCAGTCAGAAATGGCATCTAGTGAGGGAAGTGTTGGCCCTCTTAAAGAAGGGCCTGCTGCAGATGGAACAAGCACAGCCAAGCTCAACAGTATTGAAGCAGCTGATTCTATGGGCGGAACCTTCTTAGAAACCCTTACAACTTCTGACTTCTATAAAAAGACAAAGGTGCCCTTTATCTTCAGCTTCCACAAAATAGTTCTTCATATGAATCATTTTTCAGTACTAAGGTTTTTTTTTTTGTCAAAATGATTTCTTGACTCTTTGCAAAAAAGTATATAAAATTGTCAATTTAATCCTTCTTTTTTTATGTGAGCTGAAGCAGTTGCATAGTCTTTAGAGGGAGAACTATTTTAGCATCCAAAAAAAGAATGGGGACTAGTTTGACATTTTTATAGACTCTAAATGGTCGCATGAAAATAGTAAGAGGACCATTCACATGGGAAATCTATAGGAGTGTCGATTTAGTTCACATGATTTCTTAATATAGGCTGAAATAGTCCCATACTCTCTAAAGAGAGAACTCCTTCAACCACCCTTAAAAGAATATGAGAACTAATTTAATACTTCTATAGGCTCTAAGACTTAGAAAAGATAACTCTTTATTCGGCTTATATATATATTCATTGTGACTTCTAAACAGGTTGAAGACATCTCAGGGTCATTTCGCTGGGCACCGTTCTTGGCGTTGCAGAAATCCGACTCGTTCCTAACTATGCTCCTTCTGCTCTCGAAATACAGGATGAAGAGCCTTCCTGTCGTCGTCTTGGGCGAAGAGAAGATTGATAATATAATCACCCAATCTGCCGTCGTCCACATGCTCGCGGAATGCGTCGGGCTTCCTTGGTTTGAGAACTGGGGAAGAAAGAAGCTGCATGAAGTTGGCCTGCCTAGTAACAGGAATAAGCTTATCAAGGTGAATCTTTCTGGTCTAAAGGTTCCAAGTAATATCTCAACTTATTTCTTCTATTCATCTATATAAGCCTGACGTCATGGTCAAAAAAGGTAAATTGTGAGGTTTCTATGTTATAAGAAGCAAAATTAATCTCTAGTATTATATAGTTCGAAAATTTATTAGTAAAAATGTAGGAAATTTTGTACACAATGCTTGAGTTACTTATATACCGTGGAATTTCTTTGAAAATAGGACTTGTGACTCAGCTACTATGAACAAAATTTAAGAAAAAATTTACAATAAGATGATAGTGGTGTTTGAAGTCGGTGGCAAGATGGTCACCTTTCAAAATAGCATTAATTGAAAAATATAATAAAAGAGTCACTCAATAATTGAAAAATTGGAATTTAGTGCTATTCATGACTAAATGTTATGTCATGATAGCCACATTTTGAGCTTATAAGTCTAATGAGCAAAGGCTTATAGCCTTTGAAGCTTTAATAAATAGTAAGCTTAGGCAGATTGAGATTGCCCTGAGCAGAGATAGCACAATACTAAGTGTCGTAGAGGCACCAATATGGTTTGTTGAAGATCAAATAATTAGAGAGCACAACATGACCCATTGTTCAGTAGATGTAAATACAACAATAAACACACCTCTTATTGATTTAAATCCAATAAAGGAGGAATTAAACGAAGGAATAAATAGTCTTTAGCTCCCAAGCTAAGGTTGTGGAAGAGAAAAAAACTAAGGAAGCAAAGATACCACCCCAGTTGAGGAGAAAGAGAATAAGGGACCAAAGTGATAGGAGCCACCTCCGGAAATTTTTAGGATCGATTTCTAAAGTCTTTCCTGCTTGGTTTCCTGCTTGGTGAATAATTACTAATGAAGTGTGAGCACACTAATGAGGACTTCACTGTTTGCAAGGCAAGGGACTTACCTCAGAAGTTGCACCACGAGGCTGTCGGCTGAGACCAAGGCAAATAATATCTCGATTATTGAAATCTGTTGCAGATTTTGGTAAGAAGGCATATACCATGTTCGCATAGATGTCAAACTTTTCGCTAAAGCCCGAAACTTGCATACTTGACACCTAAATTTTACTTGAACAAATAATCAATGGATTTCAATTATCCGTCGATGATAATGAAAACTCTTAGCTCTAAAAAACTCTTGCATGGATTAGACTTCTTGAATCTCATATGTTTGGTGATTGATGCCAACAATCAAAGGTTGAGAAAAACAGACCGAACATTTAACTGGAATGAGGAGAGGTTTAGTGGTTCAAGCATGTGTTAAATTAGATACTTAATAAATATTAAAATTATTTTAATATAGTTTAAATAATATAATAAGGACACAATAATATTATTTTTATTGATTAAATAATAATATTTAAATTCAAGACACTTCAGTTTTAAATATTTTGAATAATATTTTAAATTGAAATTTTAAGACATGAGATTTGCTATCTTTGTAATTTAAATATTTAACTTCTAGTAATCTTATAAAAACCAAAAGCCTAAAATTGGACAATAATAGAATCAACTAGATTTTTAAAAACCAAACTGATTCGCCAGTTCAGCCCTAATTTTAACCAATTCAATCCCGATTATGTGTTGAAACAATTCTGAGTTTAGATGGAATTGGTGGAATAATTGTTTCACAGTTGAACCGATCGAATCGGCAAGTCTAGTCGGATTTTTAAAACCATTCAACAATGATAGGGGCACGAATGATGGCTTCAATTCCTTAAAGTTAAGTGACTTACCCATAAAGTTGCACCGCGAGGCTTGTTAGGCAAAAGTGCATAGATATTTACCTGTTTTACATTAGCGATGCCTTTCCAATTTCGATACACTACTCCAACCATCAGTGGATGCTTATATTTGCACAATGTGAAACATATGAAAGAAGAACAAGTTTTTTCTCCTGATAGATGCACAAATACATTAATAAACTGAGATAAGAGATTTTGTTGGGATGAATATATATATATAGATAACTGATTCAAAGTGTTCTGATGCAGGTAAGAGAGGATGAATCCGTTCTAATGGCCTTCCAACTGATGAGGAAAAAAAGAATTGGCGGCGTACCAGTTGTTGATAAAAGCGGGAAGAAGGCGGTTGGCAATATAAGCATCAGAGATGTTCAGTACCTTCTTACAGCTCCAGAAATGTACAAGAGTTACAGGTTTGTAAGTCCAGATTTATTTAATGGGAAATTTACATAAGTAGCACACAATTCTTATGTATTTACATATCTCACACATAAACTTTCATATTTACATACATAACATTTTAGTGTTTTAAATCTATGCATGAAAATGTGTATTTTACCTTTTTTTTTTTTTTTTTTTTTAATGATAATAGTATTATTTTTTTTATGTGATATTAAAGAATTGATAGTTGCGTGTAAATATGAAAGTTTAAGTTTAGGCGCAGGAAATGCAAATACATAAGAATTGTGTGTAAAAGCCTCTTATTTAATTTATTTCATCAATTATTGCATTAATCGTGAGCATCCAGATCAAGTTGAATATGAAATAGTTAAACTCCGCACAAACTCGAAATGATAAATAAATATTTGACTCAAACTCTACACAAATGATTCAATTTTGAGTTAACTCAAAATTGATTATCATTAAATAAATACATAGGTATAAATGCAACATGTTGTATTATAAACCTAACATGTTGTCTTGCATACATTAAATATAAGGGAAATTTACATGCATGCCACAGTTTTATGTATTTACATAACACCTAAACTTTCATATTTACACTTGTAACGCCTTGGTGTCATAAACCTATGCATAAGAACGTGTATTTTACTTTTAAAATGATACAGATGGTGGCATTTTTGAGGTGATGTTAAAGATTTGAGTGTTATGCATGCAAATTTGAGAGTTTAGGTGCTAGAAGAGTAAATACATATGAATTATGTGGCATGCATATAAATTTGATTTGTATTTCCAATTGACTTTAACTATATTAGGAACTTAGAAAACAAATCGCCAATCTCCATGTTGAAATGAAGAAAGAATACAAGTTGAAATTGTCTTCTCTAGGGAGAGAATAAATATGAGTAAAGTGTCAAAATAGTCTCTGACTATTTGTATGTGGTCATTTTCGTCGCAGTGTTCATAAAAGTGCCAAATTTATGCTTAGACAATTTTAAGATGGATTGAAATAATCACCAAAAAGGATTGTTGTAGCCCCTATTAAATAAGACTAAATTGACATTTTTATAGACTTTGTGACTAAAATGAATGCCTACAAAGAGTCGGGAGATCATTATGAAACTTTTCTGAAACAAAAATTGTTCATAAGCAAATCTGAAACTGAAAAATAGCTTTGAAAAAGAAGAATCAAAATTTTATTTCTGAAAAGTAAATATATCATGAAATTTGCAGGTCGATAACAGCCAAAGACTTCGTAAGATCAATTAAGAGCTACTTGAGCACACATATTGATGCTTCACCCAGATTTACTGGAGTTCTAACTTGCAGCAGTGAAAATACAATTAAAGAAATAATTCTGAAGCTGGATGCAAAAAAAGTACAACGGATCTATGTTGTTGATGAGGAGGAAAATTTGGAAGGGGTGATTACGCTAAGAGATATAATATCCAAGCTGGTTCATGAACCTAACGGCTACTTTGGTGATTTCTTTGATGGTGTTGTCCCTTTGCCTCAGAACAGTAGGGTTTAAAATGTAAAGAATCTCATAGTTTTTATTTATTTATTTATTTTAATGTGGTGGTTAACTTTCTACTTCTTTTGGGAAAATATATAGGCACTACTTGAATGTAATTTGATACAATCTTGTGGTTGGATCTGCTTGACCCATGTTAAAGTACTAGTTTTGATGCTAAATGACAGCGTAGAATGTGGTCAGATACTGGAAAGGGTTTAAGAAATTTTAGATAAATTCAATATTTACCAAAAGATCAGAGCCACCTCAGTAATTTCAAAGAAGATGGAAGTGTACCATACAAATCTCTTGTATTTATACATCTAACATTTAAATTTTAATTTTACATATAATCAAAAAAACAGGATAATCTAAATCTTTATTTCACGAAAGCAATATTTCAATAATTTTATGAATTTGCATGAGAAAGTTCAAAATACATCAATATTCCAAATTTCAGCATTGGGTAAATTAAAAAGAAGATGAGGAAAGTATAAATATAAATAAAAGTGAGTATACTAATAATCAATCAGATATGGATGGATGCATTTCTCCTTAAAATTATTTCAAGAAAAAAATATTTTGAAAAAATACTATAAATCAGATAATAATTTTCTTGCAATTATTACACTTCACAATGAAAAAGATTATTTAAAAGAATATCCAATTAGTTCTCAGCATATTGTCTGTAGTAGTTACCAACTAAATGGTCCCCTGTATTGGATGACCCAACCTCAATAGAATGCTCACTTCATTAATATTAGAAGCAGCCTTCAAAATCTCCTTCTCTGCTTCTCTTGCCATGTTGATTGCTTCTCTGCAGCCAAATTGAACAATAGAATTAATAAATATATGTATTTTCATATCTAACATCCAAACTTTACCTTTTTTTTTTTTTACATTTATACCACTCAAACCTTTCATATCACATAAAATATATCACGACTTTTACTTCTAAAAAATAAAATACACATTTTCATTAGGGCTGTCAAACACAGCTCGGTCATGAATAGTTAGTGTTCTACTTGTTAAGTAGCTCGTGTTTGATTCGTTCGCTAAGCAAACGAGTCGAGCACGAACAATTTTTTTGGTGCACAATGTATGAATGAACTGAAAACGAACACAATGATTTGTCCGTTCATGTTCGGCTTATTTTGGTTCAAAATAATTAAATTAACTATAAAACTAAGATTTATAATCAATTAAAATTATTAATTAAAAAATAGAATAAAAATAAAAATATATTAAATTCTATTTAAATGAATATTTTAAAATAAATAATAAGATTTAAATCTAGCCCCTAATCTTAATATTCTACAGTTGTGTGACTCGCAGTCAAAATGGTTCGTTGAAGAACAGCTTGTGTTTGGCTCGCTAAGCAAACGAGTCAAACACGGACAAATTTTTTGCACTCAATATAAAAACTAGCTGAACATAAAATAGTGTTATTTTTTAACAAGCCGAACATGAGTTGAGCCTGGGCTTGCTGAAGCCCAGCTCATTTACACCCTTAGGCAAAGTGGCATATAGGTAAAAATTGAAGTTTAGGTGTTAGATATGTAAATACATAAGAATTGAATGCTATGTATGCAAATCTTCCATACGATAATTAAGAATAAAAAAAAGAAATGAAAGGATAATTACTGGATCAATTTTTCTGGAGGTATAGAGACTTGAACCTGAAGCAGTATATTCTCTCCAAATTTGTGGAGAATGATATGCTCAACAGTCATTTTCTGTAAAATTCATCAAGAAAAGATGTTTTCAAAAGTACCAGAGTATTTATAATTCAATGTTACTAAAATAATTTGCTTGAAAATAAAGGAAAATAATCTGTAAAAATTAAACTCAAGTGATTAGTTTAGAAAAAAGGTGTTGATGGATGGATGCCAATAGAAAAATTAATATTTAGAATGCTTACACCTAAGGATGGGTTTTCTAATATGATTGGTAGCACTTTGGGGGTTTTGTGTGTGTGTGTGTGTGTGTGTGGGGGGGGATAAGCTAAAGTCTGCCTCAGTGAGTACATCAAATTATCCAATCAGAGGCCGAGCCAAAAAAATTTTCTAGCGGGCACAATTTGATATTCCCATCCGTACCCATGTCAGACACGTATTTTTCCTAGCGGGCCCAAATTGACTTTTCTTAGCGAGGTTTAATAACTTTGTTTATGGGGCTTCTCAAAAACCTATTCATTCTTAGGGAAAATTCATATATCTATATGCTAAACACAAAAAAATAAACAATGAATTTGTTAACAGGGTCTCGAGCCCGGAAGAAGAATGTTTAGAGAAATTAAAAAAAAAAAAACTATTTTTCTCCGGGCTTTGAAAAATTTATGGCTTTGCCAATGGCAGCAGCACAAAAACAGTTATTTAAGGGTCCGTTTGGTGCAATTTATTCGTTGCGGGGCATTTTCAAAACGGCGCCAAAGGTGTTTGTTTCCCATGTCTGAGTTTTGCGAGAATCTTTTTCCATTAAACGCTAGCTGGAGGTTCGACCCCGCGGCCCACATTAGAAGAGAAAACTTTACTCCTTTGCCTCTCTCGCGTAAGCATGGAGGAGGCACTCCTTAGAAGAACGACCACCTAGCCCTGTCAAGCATCATTCCACCTCCACTTCCTCCTCCGGGAGAGGTAAAACACCATCCCTCGACGACTCTCTCCTTCTCCATCCTCTTCCTCACATTCTTCTTCCCCAAAAAGAGATTTCCCTAAATTAATTGAGGAAAAGCAGCTGGAGGTTCCCCTGGGCCTATTTTTCCTCGCTCTCTATCATGCGTGGCTTCTCTTCTCCGTCCTCAAGTGACCAAATACCACTGGCATCGGCCTCCATGCCTTTGTTCGCCGGCGATGGGTCCAAGCAATGACGGCTGTCAGAGCCCCTCTTCTTCCCTTCTCTTCTTCCTACCCTTTCTTCCTTCAGCGCCTTTCTTGTTCTGCATCTTGCAAATTTTGATAGCTTTCTTGTTTGATGGCTTTTATTGATTCGTGAGCCGTGAGCCTTTTGATATATATATATATATATATATATATATATTTGGCTATATGGTTTGTTTACAAAATGCTTGGTGTTGACCTTATTTTTAGTGAGGTCTAGTCTTCCTCTTAGGATTTAGGATCTAGCCTTAGGACTCTTCCTTTGACTATCTTAGACCCTTAGAAATGGGACCCGCCTCATTTTAGAAATTCAACCTACTTCTGTACCATTTTGGAGTTTCGCATGTGTGGTATCGACTTCTAGCACTAAGAAAGGTGAAACCAACATGAGAGAACCCAAAAAAAGTCTCGATAGGATCTTTAAGCCTTAGGGTGACCTTTTGCACAATTTGCACTCTCGTGCGCACAAACTTCGCAATTCGGAGAGTCGACATGTCCGATCACTACAATTCGCATCGCTTGTACCGTTATCTGTCGATGACTTGAATAGATTTTGGAGACGATCGATCGCAGGTTGAAATGTTATGAAATTTGAATTTTGACGTGTTTTTGACCTGATTGTCGACGATGTCGTCCGAGCGACCCCGGATGATAAAACGGACTGCACCGGCGCGTCCGGAATGTCGATTTTGCTTAGGGAGGACACCCATTTTGCTAAGGCACTGCGCGCGAGTAAATTTCATGAGATTTAATATATATATGAAGCCTAAATCCCTAAACTCACGCACCCGAGCTCTGCCTCCATTTCTCTCTCCCGTTCACGTGTCCCGCTCTCCCCTTTCTCGATCTCGAGCCCTAGCCGAGCCGACCGAGCCGACCGAGCCGACCGAGCCCTTCTCCACGCGAGAGAAAGTTGACCTCTCATTCGTCCTTGCCCGACACTTTCTGCCCGCGACTCTCCTTCCTGAAGTTGTGTCTGCCTCTACGAGCTGCGATTTTCCTTTCTTGGTAGGTTGACTCTGATGAGTTTGCTCCCTGAAACACTTGAATGGCAACCTTCTTTTCTTCCAGATGCCTCTCTCCCTGCCACTCGGCTCGCCACTTGGTCCTGGGCACTTCGGTTGCCTTGCCTTCTGTAAGCAAAAAAGGCGTACTTCTTCTTCCTTGACCCGATTCGAGTACCGAAGAGGGTGTTGGTTGGCTTCATTCTTTCCCCCTCTTCTCTGCCTATGAATATAGTTTCTTTTGGGTTTTGGTGTTGTTGAGAAGTTTCTTAAGGAGAGAGGAAGTGGCGATCTTTGTTGTTGGAAGATTTTAGCAAGGATTTTAGGAAGAAGATTTCTATGGGAGCATCTCTTTGAAACTATTTTTGAGTACAGCGTTTTAGATGTCATATTAGAGAGGTATTTGCTCTTCCCCTTTTTTCTCCTGTGCCTTAGTTTCCTGCGGTTTTCTCTCTGTAGAACCCCTTATGCTCGGTTCAGTGGATAGTGCAGCATGCTTATGTGATATCACACTTATGTTTTCTTTGAAATACTTGGTACTCAAGCATCTAGAGATAAAAATATGGGCATATTCTAGGAGTTAGACTTGGTTACTTGCTTAAAGTAGTGAAGTTATGACATGTTTATGTTTATTGTAGCATAGTTATGTTGGAAGCAATTAGAAGAGCTTTGGAATAATTTTGTTACTCCTCTTGTAAACATGTTAGGATATGTATTATGAAGCTTTTCATCTATTTTTATTTAGCATGAGATATTAGAGAGATTATTTGGCCTTTCATGCATATTGGGGGTTCGATTTTGGCATCTTATAACTTTCTCTTGCTTAAAATGCATGTTATGAATAAGTTCACTTTGATTTGGAAAAGATGTTATAGTTTGCTTTAATAATTTGATTTGACTCCTCGAAGGGGGGGATCTTTCATGCTTGGATGTTTGAGAGAAATTAATTCATGCTTAGAACGACTATATTGGTGGCCTAAAAAAAATGCTTTTCATGACACTGCTATAGTTTAAAATCTATTTTGGCTCCATATGCTGATGTCTTACAGGCTTGTGAGCTATTCCTTGGCTTTGAATGACTCGGTTTTACCTTGAAATGGCTGGAACTTTAACTTCTGTTAAAGCCTGAATTTATATCGATGCTTGGGTCCTGTTTTAGCCTTGTTGGGCTCGGTTTTGGCTTGGTTTGGAAGTTCGGTTTGCTTGTCTTAGCTCCTACCCGAGAGGTGGCTTGGGAGTTTGATTTGGTTTGTTTTTAGTCCTACCCGTGGGCTTGTTGATAGACCATTTGGTTTGGCTTTGGCCCCTGCTGGGCTCGATTTTGGCATCTTGTGTGTTTTTGGCTTAAATATACATATTGTGTAGGAATTTATTTTGATTTGGAGGAGTTCCATAGCTATTCTTGTTTAAAACATATGGTAGTCCTATATTTTGATGTCTTCAAGGCATAGAGATGTTTTCTACCCTTTTGTTGTAGCCTGACTTTGAACCTCAGTTGTGTCGCGGTTTGGCTCTAGCTAGAAGCTCGGTTTTGCTTTGTCTTGCCCCCACCCGAGAAGTGGCTTGAGTGTGGTTTTGCTGGCTTTAATTCCTACCCGAGAAATTGCTTTGTTTTTTTTTTATTTTTGTTGGCCTCGGCTCCTATTTTTGTTGGCCTCGGCTCCTACCCGAGAGCCTATTTTGGCGTACTGTGTTGTCCTTATTCGAGAATTGTTAGCTGGTTTTGATGGATTGGTTTGGAAGCTTATAAGGCTGCAGTTGCCCTGATTGGTGATGTTTTGTACTCTCTTATGTATATCAAAAGGGAATTGATTTGAGTTGCCCTGAACCGTAAGCCTTAACAGTTCTTTTCCGGGCCCTTTTATTGCCTTAGCCGTGAGCCTCCTCTCCTTCTGTGCCTAGGGTTGCCTTGGCCGTGAGCCTCTTTTAGCCTTGCGTTGCCTTAGCTGCTGCTTCCTCTTCTCTATTGACCTCGACCGTGAGCATTTATTTGGTTCTATGGGAAGGTTTCATGCTTATTTGATGTATGAGGCTATCTATTAATTCGAAAGTTGGTAATTCGAAAGTTGGAGAATTGAATTTTGATTTCAGCATGAGTTTGGAAATATTAGTGGTGGTTTCCCCGAGATCATTTTCTTTTTGAAGTTTGGGAGATTTTAAATCTTATTTTGGAAAAGTATTTGATTGAGACGAATTAATTTCATAAAAGATGTCATTGGGGTTTGGATACTGGCTTAAGAGGTCATTTTGACTAGGGTTGGTCCAATTTAAAAAAAATGGTAAGAAAGTGATATCCATTTCGGATTGATTCAGGGATTTTCGGGTCTTACTTTTCGAATCTTTTTTGTCACGAGCTTTGATGGCTGGTTCATCCTTCGTTCTTTTCGATGTTTTAGGTGAATCAGTCTCTCATCTCTCTCACCCCATTTTTGTTCTTTTTTTTTCTTTTTTCTTGGTTCGGTTTTCGATGTTTATGTCTGATGCATAAGTGTCCAGGTATAGCCTTTTGCTATACGTGAAACCATCAAGCAAGGTCGCAAGTAGTCGTTTTGTGGCGTACGGTGGTGATGATAAAGACATACCGAAGATAGAGCAGAAAGATGTTCTATCCTATAACATCAAGATCCAGGTATTTGATAAACAATAGGATAACGGTATCCTTCACCGACATAAGTCTAGCAGGAGTTGGGCTCGAACCTCCTCAAGTGATTGGCAGTCTCACGCCCGACAACGTAATCGACTTGTGGACAATAAAAATTTGTTAAAATCTGTTTAAAAAAATAAATAAATAAAAATATATTCTTCTCTATAAAATAAAGTTTAATAATTTTTTGAGACCTATGTGCATGTCAAAAACATAAATTTTAAAAATACAATTTTAAAATTGATTGTCCACCTGGCGAATACTTGTTTAGGCTGGGAAATATCCCTCTAAGTGAGGTTCAAGACACAATTCTAGACGAATGGTGGGTTCTATATATTCAGGTGACCAAGTAGCCTTTGCAGACCCTTGAGTATAAATATATATCTGAGCCTAGCCCCATACGAGTGCATGCGGTCCCCCTCACCCAAAGTTTTTTTTGTTTTATCGAAGCTTTGGGACAGGGCACTCGTGTTACTTTTCCTTTCTTTTGGGATTTCTCCAAGATTTTTGAGGATTTCTTTTCTTTTACTTGAGTCTTTTCCCGTTGATTTTCTTGAGTATTCTGTCATGAGTCGTTGTTACACTCTTCTTCGGATTTCCTGGACGACGTTTCTTCCAAACTTCGCTTTTTGCGATGCATTTAGACTTGTTATACTTAAGGAACAGCGGATCTCACGGGCGTACATGTTTGCTTTACATTTTACAGCGCTTCATTTTCCTGTTTCTACATGCTCTACTATACATGCTACTATTCTTTCTGTACAGCATGTTATACTATTCATGTTTCTACCTGCTACTGTACCGTACAACATGTTATATTATTCTTGTTTTTGTTTGCTACTGTTCTTCCTGTATAACATGTTATATTATTCTTGTTTTTACCTGCTATCGTACCGCACAACATATTATACTATTCATGTTTCTACCTGCTACTGTTCTACATGCATCCTACTGTTTGTCCTGTATTGCACATTTTATATTATATTTCTTTAAACATGTCTTCTTTTTATATAGGACGTTTAGAGGACTATTACCATAGGGTCGTTTGATTTGACATCATAACTGGACACCCTAGAAAACGGACACCATCATAACTGGACACCCTAGAAAACTTAAAATCGTCACGTCGAGGAGCTTGGAGCTAGCGCAGTGGGCAGCACGACCATCTTCAACAGCAGAACATATTTTCCCCAGCCAAACCATTCTTTTTCTAGAAATTAAACAATAAGTCATAGGATTTCGAGGTAGTTTGCTTAGCGCGACATAAATCCTCACTTTATTTGTTAGGTTTTTGCACAGCCAGACTGTGCAGTTTAAGCCCTAACTCGTTCTAAGTTCCGAGGTTGTCGTCCGATACGACGTAAACCCTCATATATTCTAGGCGAATTGTGTGACCGTGTCACGCAAATATAAGCCTTAATCAAATAAAATTGGTAGGATGAAACACTTGCACTTGAATAATTTCTTCACTTGAATAATTTCTTCTCAAAACTGAAGTCAAACCATAGAATAGACTAGGAAGTCACCGGGGTTCGCCTCCAGCTCTAAGACCTCCTCTAGTTCTTTCTCATTTGGATTCCTCAACAATATTCCAGATTTGAGCATTTCCCCTTTCACACCTCTTCGTCCGATTTTGTTGAAAAGTCCTATCATTTTGACCTCTTTGAAGATAGTATTCCCTGATTTTTACCGAGAGTTTTCTTAAGTGACTTCGGTCATTTAAGATGTAATTAACTATAGGGGTTTGCCCTTATAGAAAGCTTTTACGAACCCAGCCTAAAATAAACACTATTTAATTCTTTGTATTAAATAGGGGAACTTGTCAGCAAATAAAATGGTTTTCGCAGACCAAACAAATGTCATATATTTCTTAGTTTATTTGATCGAACATCATCCTCAAGTCTTGTGTTTATCCCCCAAGATATATACAAAATTTGAGGTAGAGCGCTCTTTCATTTAAACTGTGAAAAATATGGGGTCAGTTTGATTTCAGATTTTTCTTAAAACTCATATATATATATATATGTAAATTAAACGTCCTTCCAAAGTGGACAACGGAATTTCGATTCCGACGACCGACAGCTTCTTACGGGCAACTCACCCCACTACCTTTCACCCCCCAAACTCTTCAGTGCCGACACTTGGAAACCAGGAAACAAGGTTCATAGATCTTAGCACCTCCGCGTGATTCTGAAATTTTCTCTTGATATATACTCTATTGTGAAGGGAAAGTGAAGGGGCAAAAGGTTTCTTTCTCTTTTGCCATTTACCAATATGTGGCGTTACAGGATTCTGATCCACGGCTAACTATATAGAACTCCATTTAAGAGTTAAGATCTGAACAAAAAATTATTTTTACCTAACTCATACAAAATGTATATCACATTTGTCTTACCTTTATAAATTCATTATTTACCTTGCTCTACCTAACATCTACATTATTGATACCTGCCATCATTTACTGAATAAACTTATGTTTATTACATATCACACCGAGCACTATATAAGATGGCTCCAACTTGTTGGTGCATTTTAATAGCCAAAGCAAATAGTATGTAGAGGTAGAGAACAAAGATCAGCTTAAGGTTTAAGTTATCAAATGAAGAAGCTCTTGTAGTAGATAAAAGAAACGAGGAAGTAACTTTCGAAATCGAGAATGAAAGATGGTAATAGCATTTAGCAACATTTTCTATATTTAACTCTCATTTTGCAGCAGGAGTTTGGATCTATCTCCTTTTTTATATACATAAACTAATATATCTATCTTTATCCTTGCATATATGTTTTTTTATTTATTTATTTTATTATTATTTTTGTGGATATATTTCTCCTTTAGTGCTTAGTGGAATCTTTAGTCTCTATTTGACAATGGACATATGTGAATATAACAGAACCATAGAAATTTGTATTTCTTGTGATTATGACCTTTAATATGTTTACTTTTCATTTTCATTTAATTTTGTGCAATGTTACATCATTATTCTAACACCCTTCGTTCTGTAAATTTATGATTGGGCTACCTTAATTTCCTTTAGAAAATTTTGTAATTACCATTGAAAATGTGAAAAGTTGAATTCCCGGAGTGTAAGCTTTTATACTCGTGAACAAGATAATGATAGCTAGTAAGACTGGAAATCCTTAGAACAAAACATTGGTAAATCCTAATCGTAAAATCTAATCTGAAAATAAATGTACTTTGGTATTGTCATCTTTAAAAATTCCTTAAATTCAATAATTCAGTTGGGAACTCTTTTCTCGTAGAATTTTAACATTCTTCGTGATTGGGTTATGATCCAATAGTATTCAAGATTATTAATGTGCATTTAAGATTTTACATTAAGCATACGTTACTCCAGTCTGTATTTGATTGGACCATTTTGAAAGTATAGCCTATTTACTGTTAGTATAAGATACTGAAATACTATACTCTCGTTTTATGACTTTGTTCTTCCCTGGCATAGGAAAGGTTATCAAACCTAACCTGATAGTGATCGGTATCCTAACTGCTAAAAGAAAAAAAAACGCACTCATACACACAATAAACAAAATGGAGAATCACTATTCACCATTCTATAGGTTTAATGAAAAGTTCATGTCTCTGTTTGTGACATAAAAATTGGAGCTTGGGGTCTTATTTTTCATTATGGGAGACAAATTGGGTTCACAAATTGGGTTCACTGACTTGAGATTGACCTAACCCGAAACTACTTAACCTGAAACCAACCAGAATATTAAACAGGTCAGAAATTTCAAACCAAAACGAAATCCATCTTCAACTCACCGACTAGAACTTAACCAATATAACCCGTTTAATATAGGTCATAACAACTATTTGGGTCAATTTAGGGTCAAATATAAGTCAATTTTGGGTTGTTGGGGGTTGATTTTAATCAATTTAAGGTTAAATATAGGTCAATTTTTTGTAGTGTTATGAAGTGATTTTTTACTTCTAAAGTATCAAATTTATAGTTTGGCAGTTATGTTGTAAATAATATTACTGAACAAGGACATAATAATCATTTATCTAGAAACAATTGTAAATCATCTATTTTTCAACCGCACAAACCAAACAAACAGTCAGTTTATTCTTATCAGCTGCTAATTAGCAGCTAATCTGGATCAGTTGCTTATCAACAAATTATTGATAAGCTGCAGCTGCGCTAAACAGACCCTAAGATGCAAATTATATATTTTAAAGAAATAAAACTAAAAATATATAAATGCTAATGGGGGCATTGTTTGATATGCATACCTTGAGCACAACTCTGCCAAATATTATCTCATTCATATTTCGCACACGCAATTTCGTGTTTCAAATAGCTTGTAAATAGTCAAGTTCGTGTTCTACTCAATTCAAATTCAAATTTGATCGAATTAACAAATGTTCAGGTCGATTTTGAGTTATACTCAAGCCTTTATATTATATTCATTCCAACTCATTTGACTCAAAAATAAAATTTTTACTTAAAAATGTTCGTTTTACCTCCCACTTTATAATAGAGTGCAAATGAAAACAGAATTTTTGTATTCGTTTTCACATTTAAATTGGATTCCTAATGAGAATTATTCCTTTAGGCGATGTGGGGGCAAAAAACTTGGGCGGTAGGACAGACAGGCCACAGAACTCTTAGGACATTTACAAACATACTACCCAATTTTATGTATTTACATATATGAAAGAAAAGACAAGCTGGAAGGCGGCAAGCACATTTTTGGGAAAAAAGGGCATTTACATATATTTCGGCCAACTCTCATGAATTTACATATATAACCATTTTAGGGACATTTACATGCATACCACCCAAATTTTATTTATTTACATATCTAACAGCTAAACTTATATCTTTTTATAATCATAACACCCAAAAAACTTAAAAAAATTTAAATTTAGCATTTTTAATACATATAAAAAATAATATAAAAATCTATATCAATAAAAAATATTATTTAATTATTTCAAGCCAAACATGAACAAATTGTTTATATATCGAGCTCAAAAAAATTACGTATTTGGCTCGCTTGCTTAAAGAATGAATCGAGCATGAGCTATTTAACGAGTAGAAAATGAGCAATTTGCAAAAGAAACGAGCTTTTTTGACAGCCCTGTGTGTTTGATTTAGACAGAATTTAAATACCAGATTATTTACCTCCTGAAACAGTGATGAAATTACATGAGAAACAACAGCTTCTGCTTCTTGCTGTTTGGAGATGTTTGTATCTTGATTTTCTAAATTCTTCGAACTCGGTCTTCGGTCCGACATAGAGTTATGTGAATAGGAAGGATCTAAGATTGATAAATTTAGGGGAAAAAATTAAAAATAGCTACAAACAATCCAAATAGGTCTCAATGAAAATTGTACGGACAAAAAAATAAAAAATGTTTGGAAGAAATCGTAATTGATATTTTTAAGAATTATAATCAACATGAGAATCGTTATTATCATTTTGGATTCCCATTGAAAGAAAAAAAAAATCACCTTAATAAGAAAATTAAGTAAGCTTGCAACAAAATTAAAATTTTCTAAAATTATGTGTAAAAAAACAGTTAAAGTGAAGGGAAATGATTAGGGATACCTATGTGCACAAAAACCTCTGCAACTTGATGGTGAGTTTTCTGTATAATTTGACGCACAGTCTCACCAATATCATGCGCAGCACTGACACTCAAGAAAGGATCAACCTGAAATAGAATTCAAAATTTGAATATTTTTAGATAAACCAAAAAAAAGAAAGATTTGCGTACATATCACTCAATTCCTACGTATTTAGATATTAATACCTAAATTTCTATTTTTCCATACATCTACCTTACTTATATATGAAAAGATATACTTGACTTTTTAAAAGTCAAAATGGCGGTATTTTTTTATGTTATACGAAAGATTTGGACATAAATGTAAAAAGCAAATTTTTTGGGTTAGATATGTAAATACATGAGAATTGGGTGGTATGCAAATGTCAAAAAAAAAAAAAAAAAAAAAAAAAAACTGAAGCTTAAATACCCTGTAAGGAATACAAGATGAATTTCTGGGATAAACAAAAAAAATAAGGTATTGAGCTTTTCGTATTAGATTGAGCCCTATCAGCTATTGACTAATATAGTAAACGGGTATTTTTTTTCTCTCTGATTATTTTGAGCGAGCAGTGCTCATAGTGACTTCTCTAAGGCAATTATACTTGAGATTAGATCATTGGGGTGCAATTACTTTAATTTTATAGGGATTCATTTCAATGATACAAAGGCATACAATAAAACCTAAAAAAAATTTTAGTTAAAACAACGAAAGCATATTTTAGATGATTCATTTTAATATTTATTTTTTTTAAGTATTTCTAATATGACCCTAAAATTATTTAAATGCTTAGAGTACTCAAATATTTTTTTTAAGCAATTTGATAGCGTAACAATCTTTTTGTGCATGAGCTCACAAAAAATGTGAGTCATAACCCTTTGGTAATGGTTCCAACATTTTTTAAGTCAAAAGATATTACGATGTGGTAGCTGATACAAATGAGAGTACAAAAAGATGTTTCTCATTCTCCAACGCCATCTTCATTTCGTTATATCCTAAGAACTATCCATGTACTGGATCATATCATGGGTCAAAATATTGTCGATCATAAGATTTGTTATGGGCAATGAGAAATTATGGCAAGCTTTATTTAGGTCCTGAAAGTTAATAAAATCACGAATCTGGCCATACATTTATTCAAGAGAAAAATCCTTTTTAATAATTGAATTGGCATATTTTTCTTCTAGTTGAAATCATCTATAATGAGTTTTTGGTTTTACTGTTCCACAATCTCAAGTCTCATTTTCCTTGGTGTTTGCTTGACAGGTGGGACCTTTAGATTAATAGAGAATTTATGAATTGCTACAATATTAGAAAAACCTAACAATTATGTATATTCAACAAGATGCGGTACTTTTACAGGAAGAGTAATATTTTTTAGTTCTATTTTTAAATGTGAGAGGAGCATTGATGAAAGAAGGCATGGGTTAATTGTTTTTCTCATCATAGAAACTTCTTGATTTCATGGCTTCGCAATTAGTTTAAAATGTTGAAATCAATAAAACTATGTTTAGAATTACTAATTGTTTTTTTATTTAACAATAAATTGAAACTGAATAGGAAAACTATCGGAACCATTAAAACTATCAAAATCAAAACTTTTGCAATGAGACTGGAACCAATTATAGAAATCGGAACCATAAAAGTTATCAAAATCAAACTTTTTGCAATAAGACCCAAACCAATTATAGAAAACTCTGCACCAAAAAATGCATTTTATTTCCCACTCTTTAGTGAAAATGCAATTCATTTGAACCATACTAAGTCTCCTAGGACCAAATATTTAGGTAAAGGTAGAATAATGTTGCTTAAAAAGATATGAAAATGATAGTTTGAATAAAACAAGAGCACAGGAAAGAAATTCCTTACCTCGATATGCACATCAAGATATAAAAAAGAACCAGCCTTCCTTCCTCTTAGGCGATGGCAACCCTATAAGCGATAATTAAGCATATTTTAACAAGAAGATGACGCACTATAGCAACAAATGGGGCAGCAAAATGAAATGCAAATCCAAAAGAAGCTTGACATTTGACAGGTCTAAAACGTTAATTTAACTTTTAAAATTGAAACTTGAATTGCCAACGAAATAAATAGGAGCATTTACATATATATCATGCAATTCTTATGTAATTACATATCTAACACCTTAACATTCATATTTACAAACATACAACTCAAATCTGTAATATCACATAAAAAATACCACCATCACTACATTTTTAAAAGTGAAATACACATTTTCATGCATAGGTTTATGACATCAAGGTGTTACAAGTGTAAATATCAATATTTGGGTGTTCGATATGTAAATACATAAGAAATATGTGGTATGTATGTAAACACACACACACACACACACACATCTAATAGACAATTAGCAATAAACTCAATCAAGACAGGCTCTCCATGAATCCATGGTATGAGATGGGTCTATCAATCTTGACCAAAATTCCAAACAGTCATCATTGGCCAACCACATGATGGATTTAGGCTCAATTGCTTCCTTACTAACCCAAGAATGACTTAATAAATTGCATAAGCCCAATTAGAGGACCAGAGCTTTGGGCTAACCAAATCAGAGTGTAGCATCATTTGATGGATTTAGTACAACATAATTGAGTGAAATGCAATAAACTCAATAAACTTTAACTTAGGGTCCATTGGATGAGTTCAATTTAATGCCTAAAGTTCTGGGTCCCACCAACCCAATCTAAAATGGCTATATAGGCCAAAATCCCTCTTAGCTTGCTAGGCCAGGTGAAAATTGACTTGGCCATAGGCTAATCGCAAGACACCACTAGCCAAGAATTGTGTTAATCAAACACTACTAGCCAAGAATTGTGTTAACTTAGGCCCAATTCTCCTTCGTATATGGTCAATATGAGCCTCTTTGCTAGTGGAAGAGACCCTCACAAGTCCCATTCATGATCAATAGTCCCTCTTATAGCTTAGAGTTGTTAAAAACATTGATGATCAACTGCAAAATGACCATAGAACATCATCCTAAGCCATCTTGCTCAAAAGCACAACTTTCACTTCTCATAACAATCTCTCTCAAAGCCTTCAAGATCAAGAGGGAAGCTTCAACTTGTAAGATAGCATCCTAAGCTTCTACGCCCAATGAATGATTGTCCCATATGAAGTACTTGCCTTAGGCGATTTCCAATTCATAACATGTTCTGAAGGTGATCCAAAGGTTCTAATATATGTCACTATGCTATCAATATTATTCAACAAATTTCCTAAAAGGGCAATGGGAGCCAAAGTCAATATCGGCGAGTTTTTCATAGCCAATCTAAAATACAAGGTAACGATCTAAATGTTCAATTCTTAGCATTTCACCTAATCGGGTTGACAAGCCTGGTAGACCAACCTAATAGAACTTGAGCTAATTTTATTCTTGAAACTTGCATATTGCATTCTTCATCAAAATATTGAGAGTATAAAAATTATGCAACTATGCATGCACAAAAAGTGATCCATCCGCTGTAAGAAGAGAAAAGAAAACACCTGACTCAATGTAAATGTCCTAACAAAAAAAACTATTATGCAAGCCTAATTGTGCATAAAAAATGAGCGACCCAGGATAGAAATTGGAATATCATTTAACTAAATTCAGTGAAGAAGGCAAATTTTAGGCTTATCCAACGGTACAATCTGCCAAGTCCTGCACCCCATGCTCTGTCTTAGATGGCATTCACGTTATCACCTTCAATAATGATTCTCTTCCCTCCCAACATCAACAACTCCATGATGTTTTTCATGGAAAGAATGGCTTCGAACAATGCTTGAGAGTTGTGCCGGTGAAGAAAATTTTGTCTAGTAGAAATCACTAGCTCCCCCAAATCATCTTTGATGATCACTCCCGTGCTAGCCAAGTGGGAAGGGAGTAGGGCGCAATCAGCAGTGGTTTTAACCCAACCGCAAAGAGAGGAAAGAAGCACAAGAAAGAGGGGTGAGATAGCCAGGAGGGATGGTTGATATCCCAATGCTCCTGTATGAGAAAGGAGCATTATCAATGTAAGAACCTAAAAAATCATGGCTGCCATGGTAATATGAGTCACGACGCCCTTCCAAATTCTTTGACATTAGCTAACTTTATTCAGAGCCAAATAGAAGGTAGTTGTTTACTAAAACGTTGACCAAGCAACAATGGTTAGACAACTGACTAAGTATTAGCCAACTAACCTGAGTATAGGTTGACATGCCTACTGTGAACTATAGATGTAATGATGCTAGCTCACAAGTTAGGGATGAATTAGACTCGAAGCTTCAGTGAACTTTACAATTATCTAAGCAATCAATGTGACTAGTGCAGTTGTGTCCGAGATGGCAAACCAAATAGGGCGATCCAGCCAGAGAATGTCTGGTTGAACTACATAAGCAAGCTAGAAAGATAAAGGACCTTGATGGTGCTGAAGATGGCCAAGCCTTGAAATGTGTCATCCATAAAGAAATATGGATACTGAAGAAAAACATCAATATAAGAAAGTAGGAATATTTACATACATATCACTCAATTCCTATGTATCTACATATCTAGTACCTACATTTTTTACAAACATATCACATTTCCAATGCATGAAAATGTGTATTTCACTTTTTAAAGGTTAAAACAGCAGTATTTTATAAGTGATAATGTGTAAAAGTAAAGTTTGGTGTTAGACATTTAAATACATAGGAATTGGGTGGTATGTATGTAAATGACCCAAGAAAGTAATGAAATGACAACATAGGCATAGTTAACTCCGTCTGCAGGTCCAATCTTAATGAGACAATAGAAAGCTCAAAGATTTATATGATTAATGATGAGGAGCATAGCATAGAGTTATGAAGAGGCAGCTAGCAGTGCAATTTAGCCATGAAAAATACAAATAGGAATTTAGAAATTACCTTCACATCTTCAACTTGATTGATTGTCTGTCTAATTGGTGCTAAAACTGACTGTGGGGCGCCAGCATCAACTAATTCCATGACACTGCAAATAAAAATGTTAAAAAGTTGCATTAGTTAACTAATGTAAATGTTCATACATCAAAGCTTGAAAGATCTTAAATAATTTTTTATAGAAGGAATGATTAAATGGAAAAAATTTAGAGGCGTTCACTTAAACACCACCCAATTACTATGTCTTTATATATCTAGCACCTAAATTTATTTTTTACATTTATACAACCTTCATATCACATAAAAAGTACCGCCATTTTAAGTTTTAAAAAGCTAAATACTCATTTTCATTCATAAATAAGGTTAATTGAAGTTTAGGTGTCACATATGTAAATACAATAGAATTGAGTGGTAAGTATGTAAAGCTTCCAGAAACTTATTCCATGACCCATTTGCTCATTGCCTTCTCTCCATCACCTCTGATAACCAGACTCAATTCCAGCTTTGAAAATCATCCCCGCAACAACAATTCCAGCAAGTGGATCTACAAATGGCACCCCTATCAAAGATCCTCCTGCAATAACATGCCAAAGCAAGCTCACATGTTTGAGTAGAGAGTTCAACATTACAGGGAAATGTGTGGCACACAATTCTTATGTATTTATATATTTACACACATAACACTTTGGTGCTCTAAACTTATGCATGAAAAGGTGTATTTGACTTATAAGAAGTGATAATAGTGCTATTTTTAATGTGATATTAAAGATTTTGATGCTGTGTCTAAATATGAAAATTTAGATGTGACGTATGTAAATACATAATAATTGTGTGTTATGTATGTAAATATCCCAAAGTTTAGAGAGAAAATAGAGCATAACTGGCACTAAATGTGTAGTTATATAAGAAAAAGGCATTTACATACATATCACCAAATTCCTACGTATTTACATATCTAACACCTGTAATTTACTTCTTACATTTATACCACCCAAATCTTTCATATCACATCAAAAATAACACCATTTTAACTTTAAAAAGATCAAATACACCTTTTAAAGCATAGGTAAGATAACATGTTTATAAAAAAATGAAATTTCGGAGTCGGATATGTAATTACATAAGAATTAAGAGGTATGTAAGTAAATATTTCTATAAGAAAAAAAAGAAAAGTCAAAACAGAGCACATATCGTTTAGCATGCTTTCAATAGACTTCAACATGGTTATAAGCTTCTGAACAAAGAGCCAATAAGTAACTCTTTAAACATTCATTTGCCAGCATTAATTATTCAGCTAAGGGGCCAAAAAAACATAACAATATTATGTATTACGATCAAGTAGAGGAGACCATATAACGGACAAATTTCAAAAATGAACTATAAAAAAATATTAGGAGCATTTATCGCTATATAAAAAAACTGTGAGTTATTATTAGTGAGAGATAGTAAAATTAAATTGCTCTAGTAAACCATATGGAAGTGGAGAGGAACACTAATGAGCTCCCACAAACAATCCTAAACTATATAATGTAAAAAGATTTATATACATACCACTAAATTCCTATGTATTTACCTATCTCACACCTAAACTTTAATTTTTACATACTCACCACCATACCTATCCATAAAAAGTGTAATTTGCTTTTAAGTTAAAAATTGTGGTATTTTTTATGTGATATGAAGATTTGGGTAGCATATATGTAATAACAAAAGTTCAGATGTTAGATGTGTAAATACGTGTAAATACATAAGAATTGAGTGGCATGTATGTCAATGCCCCTAAAATATAATGCTCAGAAGTATGAAGCATCTCAAAAATTTTCTTGATTTTATCTGATTTACAACTAACGAAGCTGGAAGCAAGCACTATTTGACAGCATAAAATGCCAGATTGTCAAAGGGTTTGTTTGCAAAGAAACAACTAATGTTATGAGCTACTTACCAACCCCAATTAGTGCAACAACAGATGACACAGCATCAGCCCGATGGTGCCATGCATTTGCCTTCATCAAACCACTTCCTTGCTTTTCCCCAGCCCTCTTGGTTATCCAATAAAGCCTAAATTCCATAAGCAGAAACAATTTTTTTAGTTAAGCCTATTGCTCCATCTCCAAATCATTATAGAAAATATAAGGAGATAAATGGAACCACAAATTTCGATAATGAAGATTGGTTCAAGTTGTAGATATCACAAATGACATGTTTCCACATGGTATACATTGAAAAAATCTTATACAAGTCCTCTTATTATGGTGCAATTACATACATGCATTGCTATTTACAAATTTAGCACCCTCTTTTGTCCATGTTTCACTAAAATATCAAAAATCACATTAAAATCCCAACCCACATTTTTACTTTTTATCAAATTCTCATTGGTTTGACCGTGACATGCATAAATGCATCGGTTCAATAGTTCAAAAAAATCAGATCGGAGCTAGTTTTGTTAATAGCAATATTTTAAGTATTGTGTATGTAATTATCCCATACATGGGGTATTTACATACATACCACCCAATTCTTCTGTATTTACACATCTAACACCTAAATCTTACATGTTACATATATATCAGCCAAATCCTTCATATCACATCAAAAATAACACCATTTTGACTTTTAAAAAGTGAAATACGCCTTTTCATGCATAGGGAAAGTGGTATGTATGTAAAAATTAAAATTTGAGTGTTAGATATATAAATACATAAGAATTGAGTGGTATGTTGTAAATAATCCAACAAAGAGACAACCGACATACCCTTCTTTCACTGAAATTGATAAAAGAGTCATGCTCAAAGCCAGGGTAGGGTGATCCAAATCAAATCCATGATGATGGCCGCCATGACCATGATTATGATTATGATGATCCAAGGTATGACTTATCATATCTGGTGCCGACATCAAAACCCCCTGAAAGTGAACAGGCACAAACCATATGGGCAGACGTGTGGCAAACGTCCTTCAGAATATCAAAGATACACATACAAATTGTCAGGCGTCACCAATATTTTTAAGTAATTATGTTATCAAACGCCACATGCATAATCTATATGATGAAAAAAATCATAAGAATATTAAAAACTAACTAAGAAACTATACCTGCAGAACATCAAAAGCATGCCAGGCAATACCACCAGCAGTTCCCAAAAGCATACAAGAAATTCCAAGAGCTCCTAAAGATTCAAATTTTCCATGCCCTGGAAAAAAAACACAAGGAATGGGTCAACTTCTTACTCTAAATGATATCTGCAGGAGCACATGAAAAACTCAATAAGATTCTATCAGATTCGTATCCCATTTGTATCGCCATACTGAAACCGTACTTCTTAATCGGCAGCTTTACTTTATACACAATGGCTTTTCCCTAATTATAATACCAAAAAGTAACTCAATGATTAACTTTAAGTACCTTATTCGCTAGTAAGTTGCTTGGAATATTATATTATGAGCTGGACAGGAATTTGTTCATGAAATAGTATAGTTATATATAAAACTTCTAAGTTGGGGACTTTAACCAAAAAAATTTAACTTATGACACCATAGTTCTATTAAATGTGGAATGAAAACCAATGCTACCATTTTTCCCTAATGAAATAATGTTTACAACATTGTAAAGCTCAACATGCGTACTTAATATGTGAGAATTATTTTGCGAACCATGTTCATTTATTCTTAGAGAAATTCTATATTCCCAAACAAATCTAAGCAAAAAACTCATCCCATAGGAGTATTTGATTAGGCGAACCAATAAAAAATCTTCCCAAGCAAAAGAGGATGACACACCAAAATTTGTGTGGCTCGCTTGACGGTAGTATTGTCCAAATAGTTTTGATCTGTAGATTTTTTTGGAGAGTACTCTAAACCAGAGAAATCCAATAAGGTTGAATGGTTGATTGAACTTGCACACTTGCTTTGACCCACCATTTATGGAGATTCTTAGTTGAGAATTTGCAAACATCAACACTTAGCAGGCTAAGGTTTAAACTACGATTTGGCATGCTATTTAAGTATAAATAAAATATATGTATTTAAGAAGGTTTTTTCTGTTTAAAGGCGGTTTAGCACATTTGCTTAATCTTTCCATTTACAATCAAGGCCAAAGGGATTAAGCCTATCACCCTCAACTAAATTATGATCTATTCAACAAAGATGAAATGAACCTTTAAGCCATAGTTACATGCGGGAAGACGATCAAAGCAAAGCATTGAAACAACTTCTAAACTAAATAATGAAATCATATCAAACAATTAAAGAGACTAAAACCCTATTCCCTAGGGAATGAATCGAGCTAATCTTCAGATAATTGTTGTCCCCTATTCCACCTACAAAGGGCTTGTATTAGTTATACATTTGGAAGAGAGTATCATCATGTTCTCCTAGGGTAGTTAATTTTAGGGGCATTACATACCACCCAATTCCTATGTATTTACATATCAATGCCTAAGCTTTACTTTTAAAATCATACGGCCCAAAATATCACATCAAAAATACCAATATTTGACTTCTAAATAAATGAAATACACATTTACATGCATAGGTTGGGTGGCATATATGTAAAAATTGAAATTTTGGTGTTCGATATATAAATACATAGAAATTAAGTGATATGTATGTAAAACTTCCATAATTTTATCACCTAAATTCAAATATATCAAATGGTATTCGTTAGTATCAGCGCTGACTATGATATGTATTGGATGAGGACAAGTTCAACACTAGAAAGTATGTGCGCTTCTTAGCTTTCAATATAAAGACCTAATAAGAAATAATCTATGCAATTTGACAAATGCAACATCAAACCATCTAAGGTTGGACTTCTGAATCATTTTTCGCCTTTCATTAGTTGTTGGGCTCTACAATATCAAGAAGGATTTTTGTAGGTTGTTTGGTTCATTACTAATAAAATGTGGTGTAAAATAAATACTTCTAAAATGGAGCAGCATGAAGAAAGGACCAAAAGATAAAACTATCTTCAATATAGCTACCAAACTTTGCACTGAAACACACAGAAATTTGTAATTTAGATGCAAAAAATTGACTTCAGCACAATTTTTTGTCGGACATAATAAATATTATACGAAGAAGGAAAAAGAGTAAGGTTATAGAAGTAAAATTAACCATATGGGTGTTTGTTGTCCTTTGGAGCCTTGGCAGCCCTATAAGACAACAATGCAATGCTGCTGAGAACCTGCAAAATCCTAAGGTTAAAGATGACAAGGAACCAAATTTTCTCTCGCCATTAAAAGAAGATAAAGAAAAACGAACAGTTTTTGTAAATTATCTCAACCAAATAGAATATTATAAAGATGGGACGTTATATACATACACCTAACTATAAACTCCTGAACTTTAAGTTTTATATTTATACCACCAAAATCTTTCATATCAGATGAAAAATACCACCTTTCTGACATCTAAAATAAAAAATACACCTTTTCATGCATAGGTAAGGCGGTATGCATTTAAATATTGAAGTTTAGGTGTTACATATGTAAATAGATAATAATTGAGTGGTACTTATAAAAATCTTCCTTTAAAGATTTCAACACTATCATCTCTAACTCTTCATCCATTCAGTTATCATCCATTCCCATCAAGTAAAAAACAATCTGTGCAGATTTATTTGTTGGATGAACAATGAATTTTTTTTATATAAACATGACAAGATTGATATGGATGTTTATATCAACTTAGTAATATCATGTTTTTGCATGTTAGAGTAGCACTTTTATAGATAGCATTTAATTCTTATTCCAATTGCATAATTCACTGATATTTACATAATAGGCCATCTAACTACTAAAATAAATGATAGTAAAAAGAAGAATCACAATCACAATGGGTCTTTTTAAACTAATTAAATTGTACAGGTAAAATAACACTAAAACAAATGCATCAAGGGAGTATTTGGGAACATAGTAACCATGGATTTAAAGTAAATCCAGCCAAATAAAAAAAAAAAAAACGAAAAATGAAATTACATAGAAAGACGGAGGATTCAATAATATATTCTGCCGTGCTTGGAGGGTCGTCTCCATCGCCATCACAGTCAATATAAATCAAGATTTATGGGATTTACTAAATCCTATTTAACGAAAATATGGGTTGCAGCCAAACACCCCCTATATTTGATGCACATACTAAAACCTAATAGAACCATCTAGACAGCAATGTTATTGGTATCAAATTCACCAAAATTAGTTCTCCATTGCTTTCAGGTCTAAAACCCTAAAGATCCACAATGATCCCAGCTAAAAAAAAGCAACAACAAAGTAAATCTGCCACCCAATTTTCACGCTATACTTACGACATCGGAGGCCGAATGCGCGGCATCCGCGATAATAGCGGTGCTTCCACAGATGTAGCCGGTGAGGGCTTTCCCGACGGAGAGGAAAACATCAGCGGCGAGTCCCAGCCGGAATATTCCCTCCGCCTTCTCCCTATCCATACCAACATGGCTATGATCGCGGCCATCGTCGGAGTGGCCGCCGTGCCACCTCCGGCTTATGAGAGTGTAATACCGGTGTTCCATGAGTGGGATGACGATCGAGAGGCGGTCAGGAGGAAAGAGGAGCCGGTTCTCGCGGAGCGAAGGAGACCAGCCGGTGAAGTAGGCTCGCCGGAGAGCGGCGAGATGGGGCGGCCGGAATCCCATTGGAAGCCGGGGACTCAGTTCCCGCTTGTTGGTAAAAATTTGCTTCCAATATGAGAATTGTTTAGGGGCAACTAGATACATAAACGTTTATATCTTCAATACTCCGCATAAAATCCGAATCTTTTATCTTTATTTAATTTATTAAAGGAATAATTACAAGTGTAGCTAGCTGTCAACTCCCAAGAGTTTATGGGTGGTAGGCAATCATGACTTAAATACTATTTTTCGGCCCTACACCTAATCAATATGGGACTATTTGCTGTGACATAGCGCTCAAAATTTTGTTATTTGGATATATATATATATATATATATATATATTAATTTCAGTATATATATATTATCTATTATATTAAACAACCAATCCAAAATATCATTATTTTTAAAATCATATTATTAGCGCAATTATTTGTGATTAACATAATAATTGAAGGTATAGTTTCTCACAATAAGGTCGTGTGTTTGAATCTCACATATTATCTTTTCCACTCACATTTCTGGGAAAAAAAAAATATTGTTGCATATCTTGCATTGAATGAGTCTTGAAGTGACCACATATCTCGTGGCATCTTTCTCATAATAAAATATTTAAAATTAAATATTCAAAAGAAACGACTTGAATTACTCTATATAATATCTAATGTCATTTTGACACGCATTGATATTTTTGAGAATTATTGGTAGAGAACTAGATAATAAAATGAAACGGAGTTTACATGGATACCTCACAATTCTTATATATTTACTGTCTACACATCTAGCACTTAATAATGCATGTTTATATTTCATGTATTGTATGACATAAATTCTACTTCATAGTTTAAGGTAATGAGATTGTCCTAAGAATTTGCTAAACTAGACTAAGCGTTCATTGGTATCACCTCATTTAGTTGACTGGCTTCAGTTGACCAGCTCAAATTAGGGCTGTGATAAGATTTTGAGCCAAATTCGTCTCTAAACTGAACTATTTTTGAGGTGGCTCGAATGTTATTTTTGGCTCGTGAGTTAGTTCGATCCGGCACAAAGTGTTGCTCAAGTAGGCTCGAAAATAGTTCGGCTTCGAGCCAGATCAGATCGAAACTTGCATGTAAAGATAAAATTTTTACAAGTGCGCCCCAAGTAACACGTTGGTATGTAAGAGCAACTAAAATTCTTACATATTTTTATATATAACATAAAAATTTAATATTTGCGTATACACACTATAGTGTTATTATATCATCAGATTTATATTTGACAATGTGTATTTTAATTGTAAATAAGAATAATGATAAATAAATATGTATTTATGAAGATATTAAAGTTTTGATATTAGCTATACAAATATTTGAAACTTACCATCCAGCCCAAAAGGAACGGCCTAACCCTGTCGGCCCAATCCAATCACACAGGCCGACGCCGTGCTCCGAAGCATCCCTAAGCGGTTATCGAATCAGATTCTGCTCATTTTCATGGCGTCCGACTCGATAGAGCTCACTCCTTTCTGGTTGTAGGTACGAGCAAGCTACTACTCGTGAGGAGGAGAATGGGACAAGCTCTACGGCGAGTAATGGGTCGGGTTCCGTGCTCGGGGCG